GCTAACGAGGGTCGTAGTGGAGCTGGCGGGAGTGGCGGGGGCGGGCACCAGGAGTTAGAGCCTTTGTGTGTCGCTGCTTGTGCGCCTACTAGCACAGTCTATGCGCACCCCTCCACTGTTCTCCCGTGTCTCGTAGTCCCCTCTGCCTCCTCTGGCTCGACCGAGGGGGATGACCCTACTGCTGCCGACACAGCGACCTCTCGCCACTCACCACACTTGGAGACGCCTCCGGGTTTTCCGCCCCGGACGTGTTCGCCTCCTCTGCAGCCTGTCGCTGCGGACTTCGGGGGCCCAGGTGTTGTTGGGGGTGGTGACGCTGAGGGTTTTGGTTCTGGGGGTGCTAGTTCTGGGGGTGCTGCCTCTGGGGGTGCTAGGAGTCCTCTTGTTGGTGGAGTTGGAGGTACTGGCGCTAGAGGTGCTGGGTCTGGGGGTGCGTTGCAGTCGCTGCCACGGCAGTCTATCTTCTTTGAGCAGCCGTCGTTGTGGCTACCTGAGCCGACGCCCACTTGTACTACTCCTCCTTTGTTGTTTCCGCCGCCTGCCTCCCTTACTCCCTCTCGTGTTACTCGGGAGCCTGTTGTCCTGCCGTTACCTCCCCCGTCTTCTCTTCCTGCTGTTCCTGACCTTGTGTCTGACCTTGCTCGTGCTGCTCGTCCGACTATCCTTTGTTGTGTAGTCGCGCTTGTGACTGCACCTGCTCCTTCGCCTGCTGCTGCTTCTGCCTTAGTAGCTGAGCTCGCAGGCTTTGCCGCTACTTGCCGCCGTGCCTACCTTGCTGGTCTCGTTTCTGTCTCTTTGTGTCCTCCGTCCGTCGGGGGTGAGCTTGCCCTTGGCTGTGACGTCCTTGAGGACAGCCAGTTCGAGCTGGAGTACCTGCCGTACCCTCTCAGCATCCGGACTCGCTACGTTGCGCCCAGGAGATACCACCATGCGCATTGGCGGGCTGCTATGAGGGTGCTGCGCTACCTGGTCAGACTAGCGAGCAGAACATAGCGCTTTGCACTTCGTTCCTTTGCCGTGCGAGTATTGCAACAGAGTTCTCAGCTTCGCCTTAGTCCGTGGCCACACGGACCAACACTGCTTGTCTATTGATCTTGTCTTGTACTTTGATATATAAACCTGCATGTTTACTCTTGCTAGGTTGTGATCAGTGTACTGCCTTGCTATTATAAATCTGCATGTGAACTGGCCTTGTGGCCGCCTGCTTGTGCTCAGATTGTGTGGTGTTCTTGAGATCCACCCTGGGCTTTGCCTTGCTTGTTCTCTTGCTTGACTGGTCTTGTGACCACTGTTAGGTTTGGCTATCCCCTACTTCACCTATGGGGGTGTGTCAAAACATATTGTTCTGTTCATCTTACTCTAGGTTGTGTAGGGGTCACACCTTAGAGGGTACAACCCAACTCTCTCGACATCCTTGTACCCCCTCCCTCTTACCTAATTCCACCATTCCTTCCTACCTAATCTCGACATATTTCAATGCCTTAGCGGTTACTATGTGCAGCGCTAACCTCCGGTCATGGCCAGTCAACAGACGGCACAGTTGACTACGGTTGTTGACTTTCCGTAACCCTGCTATCGCGTCCTCTATACGAGTGTAACACGATCGTGGGGATGAGTACACATGCTTTATACGAGGGCAATGCGCTTCAGCCGTACCCTAGGAATGTCAAATAGCCTTTCGGTTATTCCAACAGTTAGGTCAGCGGTATGGTAGCAATCAATGAATCTGGCGAGGCTAAAGAAGCGGTTGGTGCGTGTTGGACAAGTCAAGCCAACGTAAGCTGTTGAGATTGTTACAATCATTAGGCCTTTATCGTTTGGATTTGTCGCTATAGTGTAACAGGGAAACTACTTTCTGTCTGGTATTGACTCGGTGAGTGAGTTTTGAATCTTGACATAAGTTATCATATAAAAGTGATACAGGGTGTCAAACGTTATATGTGGTTGTTTGGCTACAGCGAGTTGCATTCTATGAGGTACAACATGTTCTAGGTTTCATATTTATACCCATCTCCTGCTAGTCAGACTCATTCCGTTGTTAGGAATTTTTTTTTTTTTTGAGAAGTCATGGCAAGCCATATCCTATGAAGGGGTATATTCACTTTAGGGCCAATCTAGATTGCGATAACCACGCGCAGTTCGGTAACCGTTTAAAGGTTTTCCCGCGCAATGCATTTCGAATACGTGCTTGTGTGACTGATTTTGCGAAATTGTTTTCACTATCGGTATTCGTAATTCAAGGAGCATCGCATAAAGTTTGTTGCTTCAGAAATGTCTATGCAACATTTTCAAATCGTGACAGAGGTGAAGCGTACTAGTGCTCAAGTCGGTGTATACCACTCGCAACAAAGCGAGCAAAGATGTTGAAACGATATGCGAGATCTGGGAGAGTGCATATCATCAGGTACATGAGGCACCCCACCACCACTGCGTACTTAACACGGGGCTCAACAGGCTTGTCAGGGAAAGGGGCTGAGAGAATATGGCCAACAGGCAGACGAGTGGGCTGTGCAGAGGAGAATTGAAGGCCAAATCACTGGAGGATCTGTTGCACCATGTGAGCCTGACTGAGAGTGATGGTGCACGCCTCTTTGTCCCTTGTGATCTGCAGGCCAAGATGTAATAAATGAGAAGGAAAAATTTAAACAGAGAAGAGCGGTTGCACTAGCAGGCAGTTGAGTACATATAGGAAACCCTAATTTGGGCTATACTCGCTATAGAGTACCCCACTGCAGGCTAGACAAATATTACATTCTGACACACCCCCATAGTCAAAGTGGGGTATAATCAGCACAGAAAGCAGTCATAGAGCATGTTCACAAGTACAAGCAAAGCTAAAGGCATTCACAAAGGGCAAGTGAGGAGGAGGAGGCGGGACTGTGAGAGGAGTAGAGATAGGAGGCGACGGGTGAAGCCGCAGACACACGGGCAACAGGAGCGGCGCGCACAGTGGCTACCGGAGCAAGGGCCCCGGACTACAGGAGTAACTGGCTCTGCGGCTAACTCCGAGCGGATGAAGCAACCGTAGCCGTGGCTGTAACCGTCATCGCCGTAGCCGTAGCTGTAGCTATAACCGTAGCCATGTCATCGCCGTATCCGTCATCGTTTAGGAGGAATAGCCTTGGACCAGGGTGTTCCTCTGCTAGATGTTTTGAGCAAAGTGTCCCTTCTACTTCGTCCTCTAGTGTGCCAACGTTGTGCTACGGTGCGAATTGAAGAAAATATATGAGGCTCAATATCAAGTTTTGTCTGCGGACAGGGAGGCTATTATTGGGATATAAATCAACAGCACAGCAATATTTGAAACTTAAGTGGAATTATGGGAATTAAATTTGAGACAGTAATCTTATGACATATCTTATTCTAGCGAGGATCTTTCTGTACATACCGTACAAGCTTCCTCCAAAAGCTGAAGCTGACGATTTCAGCATTCGATGGCCTTCCCACATTCCTCCATCCCAGCAGTCGTTGCTGCATCCGTACGAAACCCGAGATACCATCTTCACTTGATACCTGCTTCGTCAATGCCACTGCCATGATGGCGTCGATCTATCACAACCTACTGTATTGGCCATGTCACATCCAAACCGCCGCACGCGCGTCCGTGGCTTCATCTCCGTTGGGAATATTCGTCGCTCAGATTAAACCGTGGCATGTGCTCTGTGCCGTCGCGCTCGCCGTGCAAGTGTACCTGTTTCGCAGTTACGAGGTCGGTTGCAAGTGTTCCGAGGCGTGCACGCCGGGTCAATCGACCGTGCGACAAGGTTCGTACGTCTCCCTCGTTACATCTCAGCCTCGTTTCAATGCGATCGGAAATTTTGTCCAAGAAGGGGTTTCTTCTTACGACGGACTGTTGAGCACATCCGGGCAGAACGGGCAGGATAATGTATTCTCAAACAACTGGCAGCAGCCGCAGCAGCAGGAAAATCAGGGGGAGCAGGAGCAGGAGCCTCAGCGACAACCGTTAGTGAATTTCGCGCAACAACTCCCTCAGCAGCAGTGGCAGGAGCGAGGACAGGAGCAGCAGCAGCAGCAGCAGCAGCAGCAGCAGCAGCAGCAGCAGCAGCAGCAACAGCAGCAACAGCGGGAGCAGCGGCAACTGCAAAACAAAGAGCAGGACCAGCAGCAGCGGCAAATCCAAGAGCAGCACAAGCAGGATGGCCTCTCGAATCCTCAAGACGATCCACGTCCTCGGGATTTCACCGGGTAAGCTAGATTCCCGCCCACAGTACCGTGATCTTCCACTTGTGCTGGTTGGTGATTCTCATATGAGCCTCATCAGCTCTCCAACTCACCTCCCCTACGTGTCGTCACCCTGACATGCCACCGGGTGCTCCTCCTGTGCCTTGGTCCCATCATCTCCCCTTCCCCCTGTCCCATCCTCTCCCTTTTCCTCTGTCCAATCATCTCCCCTTCCCTCTGTCCAATCATCCCCATCCCTCCGTCTCATCATCTCCCCTGTCAGTTGCGCCTGGTCGTGTAACTGGAGTTGGCAGAATAATAATCTTGAGAGTCAAAAGAAAATCTCTTCCATCACAACAGGTTGGATGACTCCCAGCTGCACCTTGTGGTGCACAAGACATGCACGCTGGAGAAGCTAGGCGGGCAGAAGATTTGAAGTACACAGATATGCACATGTGTACATATTTCAACCGACACAAATGCTCTCGTCACAACAGGTTGGATGACTCTCAGCTGCACATGCAAGCTGGATAAGCTAGGCAGGTAGAATGATCTTAGAATCAAATGAGAATCTCTCCCATCACAACAGGTTGGATGACTCCCAGCTGCACCTTGTGGTGCACAAGACATGCACGCTGGAGAAGCTAGGCGGGCAGAAGATTTGAAGTACACAGATATGCACATGTGTACATATTTCAATCGACACAAATGCTCTCGTCACAACAGGTTGGATGACTCTCAGCTGCACATGCAAGCTGGATAAGCTAGGCAGGTAGAATGATCTTAGAATCAAATGAGAATCTCTCCCATCACAACAGGTTGGATGACTCCCAGCTGCACCTCGTGGTGCACGAGACATGCAAGATGGAGAAGCTTGGCGGGTAGAATCTTTGACTTACATAGATATACATGTGTGTAAAAAATTCAACTGACATAAAGGTTCCCGTCACAACAGGTTGGATGACTCTCAGCTGCACCTGGTGGTGCACGAGACGTGCAAGATGGAGAAGCTAGGTGGCAGGAAAAAGGACGGCTATGGTGCATGGACGCTCTGCACCAATCACCTGCGGCCAGGTGGCATAGTGTACTCGTTTGGCATCGGAGGCGATGTGTCGTTTGACAATGAGATGGTGAATCGAGGCTACAAGGTACGCATGTCCCCATGCTCCACACACACCACCCGCCCACTCGTCCTCCTTCTCTTTCCAAGAGCTATGCTAGTGCCTTGACTCGAGTCGTAGCTGTTGTTTGACATTGAGATGGTGAATCGAGGCTACCAGGTACCTTCCCACCCTCTCTTACTACTTTCTACCCCCGCCTCTCCCCCCCAACCCTTTCCCCTGCTTTTTCCACACACACCTCACCCAACCCCTCCCTTCTCGTTCGTTATGCTCTTCCATGCCATGTTCCCTGCCATGTCATGCTCTTCCCTTGATATTTAGTAGTCGTCTGCCTACTTTTCCCTTTTCCGATTGCATAACCTTGTGTTTCCCACTCCATCTCTCCTCCCTTCAGGTTTTCGGTTTCGATCCCACCGTGACTCCAGATCACGTCAGCAGCGTATTCAATAACAACCATGAGCGCGATCAACCTTCAGCTTTCCAATTCTGTCAGGTTGGCATTGGGGCTGTAGACGGCATTATCACCTTCTTCCGTCCTAAGAATCCCCGCTTGAAATCCATGACAGCTGTCAAGCATGAGGAGCTGTCAAAGCGGTACGACAGCCGAGGCATGCCGGCCCCGGTCATGCGGTTACCAACATTCATGTGCACTAACGGCCATGGGTTCATCGATGTGTTGAAGATTGATGTCGAAGGGGTTGAGTTTGACATCTGCGATGAATGGTTACGGATGGGCACTCCCCTCCCAGTTGGCCAAGTGTTAGAGTTTCATGACCGCTTGTTGAAAGATGGCAAATCACGGAGAAAGGCGTGTCTCGAGGTTATGGCGAGAGAGGGGTTCACGGAGGTGTACGTCAGTCGTAGTAGGGACGAAGCCACTTATGCAAGGATGGCTTATAGAAGAAATTTGTCTTTATTGTTAGGTAATCCTTAAAGTTAATCTTGGTTTATGAGCTCTCCAATGTCTTTGTTTGGACTGGTTCAGGTAGCCATGGAGCTATGGCTCCATTCACTCGAGGCATTAACCAAAATTGGCCTTGAAAATTGTACATGGGTGAAGACCTAATGGGTAAGAACACTAATGTAGCTAAAACAACTGGGTGCTTTGCTGTTATGACAAACTGCAGTGTTTGTGGAATCAGCTGACCTATAGCGAACCCAAACTTGCTGAGGTGTAGAGGAGAGTCTGGCCGTCGCCGACGTGTTCGCTGTCGCGTGTGCTGCGGCACAGGCTTGTTTGGAGATCACAACTTGGCAAGGCATCGGCGGCAAGCTCGAGGGCATCAACAAAGCTCGAGGTCATCAACAAACCGTGTAGGTACGCAGGCATCCGTCCACATCCCTTCCCACCTCCTGTCACCGACCTCCACCAGCGTAGTTTACCCTTTCCTCCATTACTTCGCTTGCTGATAATATTCAGTACGGTTCAGCAAGTTTCACACGGTAATCAGCAATCATCTCTTTACAGCGCTCGAAAACGCTACGCACCAAGCACAACCGTGGCAGTTGAATGCAGACTAGTTCATTCCCTTGCATCTCCCCTACCCCTGCTCCTTTTTCTTCCCTCAGGCCTGACACGAAGGAACACCCTCTGATGTGCAGTGCAGCTTGTAGCACGAATACAGAAACTTCGGCCAAAGCATTTTCTCACCTTTCATGAAGGAAGAGGCTACCTGTGTGGCTGAGCAAGCGAACCGAATTTATTCGGAAACGACGACCGATCGACCCCGGGCCTTCGCTAGTGTTCCTAACCCACGCTCATAGCGCACGCCTTTCTTACCAATACGCGATCCATTACCGTTCCGTCGCCGGAAGTAACAGCCTTTACTTCTGCTCAAGTTTCAAGCTATCCAGCCAGTCCGCTACCACATATTTCCTGCATCCACCCAGTTTTCTCCACTCGAGGATCATAACGACGAGCCTCGCTCGCACAATCCATTTTCCTCGCTTCATTCGCCCGCATTCTTCCGTTTAGCTCGCATAGGCGTTTAACAATCTTCACCATTTTCCGCAAAGAGCGTAACCGTCCGCTTTGCGCACCTGGTAACCCTACTGCTCGTTACCGCATTGCTACGACGACCCCGAGAACTGTCTTATTGACACAGTAAGCCGGCATTGCGCAATGAACGCTCTCCGGACGTCTCCGCTATCGTACAACGTTGTGTGAATCTCTAAATCCCTCGGAATTCATTTAGGGACCGACAGACCACACAGCGCGTCTCAGGGTGGTTCGAGACTGTTCCGTTTCAGTTTCCGTTTCAACGCGTCAAGCCCGTCAAGCCCGTCGTGGTCATGGCGAGCGGGGTGAACCTGACGGCAGTGACGGTCATTGCTGCCGTCTCTGCCGTCCTCGCGGCTGGCGTCACCGCGCTAAACATACCCTCAGGCGTCTTCGGGTGAGTTCTCCCCCGCGACTTGCAGGTCATTCATTCTCAAGTGCGACGCTCATTGAATCCCCCACAAACCATCCCCTTCCCTCTGGCTAAAGAATCCCCACCTTCCCCTTCCCCCCAGCCTGCACCCCATGCCTACGACGCACCCTTCTTCTGATTGTGTGATAATGACAGCCCAGCATTCATTGAGACATTCGGGCCAGCGAATCCCCACACCTCCTTTTCGCCATTCCCCTCTTCCTTCTCTCCATCTCCCCACCCCACCCCGAGCCCCACGCGCTGCCCTTCTTCTGCACGTGCGACAGTGACTCAGCGCTGATGGAGGACAGCATGTCTCAAAACCCCGCAACCCACCTCTCCCCTTCCTTCTTCCCTCTTTTTCCCCCCTTTCCCCCATCCCGCCACCCCCTCCCATCCCCCGCCAACCTGCCTCTCCCCCCAACCCCACTCCCCCCCACCCAGCCTGCACCCCAAGCCCCACGTGCTGCCTTTCTTCTGCACGTGCGACGATGACTCAGCGCTGATGGAGGACAGCCTGGCGCGGTGCCAGGTGGCAAGCGACTTCCTCATTGCGCTGGCGTATCTCTCCATCCCACTCGAGCTTGCTTATTTCACGCTGAGGGCAAGGACCTTCTCACACCGCTGGGTCATGCTGCTCTTCAGCCTCTTCATTGTTCTCTGCGGTGAGTGCATGCATTGCTGGTAAGTGTGTACGGCTGCCTTGGGAGTGTCGCTCCCCTCTTTCTGACTGCCTCCTGCTCTTGGCTGCTGGTGGCAACCTAAGGAGTCTCTCACACCGCTGGGTCATGCTGCTCTTCAGCCTCTTCATTGTTCTCTGCGGTGAGTGCATGCATTGCTGGTAAGTGCGTGCAGCTGCCTTGGGAGTGTCGCTCCCCTCTTTCTGACTGCCTCCTGCTCTTGGCTGCTGGTGGCAACCTAAGGAGTCTCTCACACCGCTGGGTCATGCTGCTCTTCAGCCTCTTCATTGTTCTCTGCGGTGAGTGCATGCATTGCTGGTAAGTGCGTGCAGCTGCCTTGGGAGTGTCGCTCCCCTCTTTCTGACTGCCTCCTGCTCTTGGCTGCTGGTGGCAACCTAAGGAGTCTCTCACACCGCTGGGTCATGCTGCTCTTCAGCCTCTTCATTGTTCTCTGCGGTGAGTGCATGCATTGCTGGTAAGTGCGTGCAGCTGCCTTGGGAGTGTCGCTCCCCTCTTTCTGACTGCCTCCTGCTCTTGGCTGCTGTTGGCAACCTAAGGAGTCTCTCACACCGCTGGGTCATGCTGCTCTTCAGCCTCTTCATTGTTCTCTGCGGTACAGACCTCTGGGTGCATGTGTGCTGCTGAACGCATGGGAGCGTTGCTCACCTCCCCTCACCTCATGCACCGCTGCTTCTGGAATGCTGCCTTGAGAGTGTTGCTTCCTCACCCTTACTTACTGCTAATTCTTGATGCTGCTGCTTGAGGAGCCAGCAAGCACCCCTGGGCCTGGGATGCTCGCTGGCATACCTTTCTTTCCCACTGGGATGCTCAATCTCGCATACTTCACGGTGAGCACACAGTGTGACCACCCTCTCTCTTACCCTTGCCCCCCCAGCTCTGACCCATCTGGTGAACGTGTGGACGTACGGGGCGCAACGCAACCCATGCAAATGAGCGTGCTCTGTATGCGTTCAGCAGTCCTTTACTCCCCTCCCTGCTCCTTGCACCCCGCTTCCCTTGCCCCTAACCCCTAACCCCACCAGGTCTGACCCACCTGGTGAACGTGTGGACGTACGGGGCACACCCGCGGCAGCTGAGTGTGGTGCAGACGGTGCTCAAGGTGCTCTGTGCGGCCGTCTCGTGGGGCACGGCCTTTGTACTCTTCACCATCATCCCCTCGCTGCTCAAGTTCAAGGCAAGTTCCTTTTTCCATCCAAGTGTGTTTTGAGTAGACTCGAAACACCTGTGTGTTACATACAGTGCTCTGTGCGGCGTTCCTAACCTGCAAATCGAGGCACTCTGTCTTTTGGTGTCTTTTGACTGGGCGCAAGATACACCTGTTACTACCCAATAGCTCGAAACAAAACACACTTGCTTGCTTGCCAATCTGGCTGTCCGCCGTCCATCTCTTCCTCTCCCATGCGCACCTGGCATGGCAGGTTCGGGAGCTTTCTCTGCAGCACAAGGCTGCCCAGTTGGATCGGGAGATGGATGCTATTCGGAGAAGAGAGGAGGTGAGGCAAACTGGGGGTTGGTTTGAAGGTAAATGTGAACGGAGAGAGTAGGAAACCGATAAGGAAAGGACAGCTGCCTCTTAATTCGAGGTGCCTAAGGAGCAACTAGTTCAGGAGAAGGATGCTGCACACCGAAGAGAGGAGAAAAGGCAACTTCTGTGTGTGTGTGTGTGTGTGTGTGTTTTTTTTTTGTTTTTTTTGTTTTGTTTTGTTTTTTTTTTTTCCTTTCCCTTTTCCTTTTGCTCTCATTGCTCCTTTCTACATTTTCCTCCTTTCCCCTGTCTCTCCCTCCCCATCTCTCCCCCTTTTTCCTCTATGCGCTTCTCCCTTTCCACCCACAGGTGGGGCGGCATGTGCGCATGCTGACATACGAGATTCTCCAGTCCTTAGACCGCCACACCATCCTCAACACCACTCTCGTGGAGCTCGCTAAGAATCTGAGGCCTTGAATCATTGCACGTTTCCCGTTACTTCTCTCCCTCCCCACAGGTGGGGTGGCATGTGCGCATGCTGACATACGAGATTCGGCAGTCTCTGGACCGTCACACCATCCTCAATACCACTCTAGTCGAGCTCGCCCAGGCCTTGAGACATTGCATATTCCCCGTTCCTTGTTTCCCTCGATCTCCCCCAGGTGGGGCGGCATGTGCGCATGCTGACGTATGAGATTCGCCAGTCTCTAGACCGTCACACCATCCTCAATACCACTCTAGTCAAGCTCGCCCAGGCCTTGAGACATTGCATATTCCCCGTTCCTTGTTTCCCTCGATCTCCCCCAGGTGGGGCGGCATGTGCGCATGCTGACGTATGAGATTCGCCAGTCTCTAGACCGTCACACCATCCTCAATACCACTCTAGTCGAGCTCGCCCAGGCCTTGAGACATTGCATATTCCCCGTTCCTTGTTTCCCTCGATCTCCCCCAGGTGGGGCGGCATGTGCGCATGCTGACGTATGAGATTCGCCAGTCTCTAGACCGTCACACCATCCTCAATACCACTCTAGTCGAGCTCGCCCAGGCCTTGAGACATTGCATATTCCCCGTTCCTTGTTTCCCTCGATCTCCCCCAGGTGGGGCGGCATGTGCGCATGCTGACGTATGAGATTCGCCAGTCTCTAGACCGTCACACCATCCTCAACACCACCCTAGTCGAGCTCGCCCAGGCGCTCATGCTTGAAAACTGCACTGTTTGGATGCCAGACCCCTGTGAGTGCGCTCTCAACCCCTGTGACTGTGTTGGTATATGCTTGATGGTGCAAGAGGAGCAACCCCATCCTCAACACCACGCTAGTGGAGCTCGCCCAGGCGCTCGTGCTTGAGAGCTGCACCGTGTGGATGCTCGACCCCTGTGAGTGCATTTAGAGGGCGGGGTGGTCCTTAGATGCGCTAGTGATTTGCATGTGTGAGTGTGTTGGTGCATGAGTCGCCACTGGACACACCATCCTCAACACCACCCTGGTGGAGCTCGCCCAGGCGCTCATGCTCGAGAGCTGCACTGTGTGGATGCCCGACCCCTGTGAGTGCTTGGATATGTGGGAGTGCCCTTGCCCCCTGTGAGTGTTGATGTGTGAGTAGCCTCATAGCTCGCCCAGGCGCTCATGCTCGAGAACTGCACTGTGTGGATGCCTGATCCCTGTAAGTATGCGTGTTCATAGGTCTGCTTCCTGTGGGTATGTGGGGAGCTACACCATCCTCAACACCACCCTAGTGGAGCTCGCCCAGGCGCTCATGCTCGAGAACTGCACCGTGTGGATGCCCGACCCCTGTGAGTGCGCTCTCAACCCCTGTGACTGTGTTGGTATATGCTTGATGGTGCATGGGGAGCCACACCATCCTCAACACCACCCTAGTGGAGCTCGCCCAGGCGCTCATGCTTGAGAACTGCACCGTGTGGATGCCCGACCCCTGTGAGTGCGCTCTCAACCCCTGTGACTGTGTTGGTATATGCTTGATGGTGCATGGGGAGCCACACCCACACCATCCTCAACACCACCCTAGTGGAGCTCGCCCAGGCGCTCATGCTTGAGAACTGCACCGTGTGGATGCCCGACCCCTGTGAGTGCGCTCTCAACCCCTGTGACTGTGTTGGTATATGCTTGATGGTGCATGGGGAGCCACACCATCCTCAACACCACCCTAGTGGAGCTCGCCCAGGCGCTCATGCTTGAGAACTGCACCGTGTGGATGCCCGACCCCTGTGAGTGCGCTCTCAACCCCTGTGACTGTGTTGGTATATGCTTGATGGTGCATGGGGAGCCACACCATCCTCAACACCACCCTAGTGGAGCTCGCCCAGGCGCTCATGCTTGAGAACTGCACCGTGTGGATGCCCGACCCCTGTGAGTGCGCTCTCAACCCCTGTGACTGTGTTGGTATATGCTTGATGGTGCATGGGGAGCCACACCATCCTCAACACCACCCTAGTGGAGCTCGCCCAGGCGCTCATGCTTGAGAACTGCACCGTATGGATGCCCGACCCCTGTGAGTGCGCTCTCAACCCCTGTGACTGTGTTGGTATATGCTTGATGGTGCATGGGGAGCCACACCATCCTCAACACCACCCTAGTGGAGCTCGCCCAGGCGCTCATGCTTGAGAACTGCACCGTGTGGATGCCCGACCCCTGTGAGTGCGCTCTCAACCCCTGTGACTGTGTTGGTATATGCTTGATGAGCTGACCATCCTCACCACCACGCTAGTGGAGCTTGCTCGCCCAGGCCCTCGTGCTTGAGAGCTGCACCGTGTGGATGCCCGGCCCCTGTGAGTGCATGCACCCACCCATACATGTGAGTCGATTTTTGAGACGTCTCAAAACAAAGATACACTTTCTACACTTCAGAGCTGCACCGCACAGTGTGGATGCCGGATCCCTGTGAGCTAGTTTTGGAGAATTCTCAAAAACCAGCATGCATCGCACCCATACGTTTGAGTCGATTCAGAAAGCACCCCTGTGACCCGACCCGACCCAACCCAACCACCTCGCACCGCACCTCCCCCATCTTCCCCCCGCCTTCCTGCAACTTCTCCACCTGCCTGTGTGTTTCTGTCCTGACTTTCCACACGCGGGAGGAGCGTTTGGAGCCGACACACGAGCTGGACTGACGATTGGTGGAGCAGTGATGTGACTGCGGGCATTGACTTTTTTATTAGTCAACTCAATTGTCCCTCCTTTCCCTTCCCCATATGCCTCTCTACTTTCCCTCACCCTCCCCACTTCCCCTCGTTGCTTCTGTCTTCCCTCCTGGCTGCCACAGCGGGGGAGTATTTGGAGCTGACACATGAGCTGGAGAGAAGAGACTTGAAGCGCCCCAAAACTCTCCTTCCCACCCTAACCATCCCCCATTCGCCTCCCTTCCCCTCCTCCTGTGTGTTTTGTCCTGGCTTGCTGCATGCAGCGGGGGAGTATTTGGAGCTGACACACGAGCTGGAGAGAAGGCTGGTGCAGGTAATGTGACTGTAGGTGGTGTGACTGTAGGTGGTGTGACTGCAGGTACGAGGGGTGTCACATGCTGCATGCAGCGGGGCAGTACTTGGAGCTGACACACGAGCTAGAGAGAAGGCAGGTGATGACAATAGGTGGTGTGACTGTACGTGGTGTGACTGAGGATGGTGTGACAGTTGATGATGTGACTGCAGGTGGTGTGGCTGTAGGTAATGCAAGTGCCTGCACGCTGCCCGTACGCGTACGTTGGTACGCACATTTCTCATTTCTGACTCCCGATCGACTTCCACACTTGCATGATGCAAGTTGCATCTTCTGTCTGACTGACTGACCCCCACACACACGCCACACCCACAGGATAAAAGAAGTGTTTTAAGACGTCTCAAAACACTCAAAAGACTCCCACACTTGCATCATGCAAGTTGCATCTTCTGTCTGACTGACTGTCTGACTGTCTGACCCCCACACGCCACACCCACAGCTGCCCATTCACATGCACAATGATTTCGAGACTTCTCAAACCCTCTCCTATCCTCCCAACCAAACTACCCTCTGATTTCCACACCTTCTCATTCTCAGGTGCCCATTTGCGTGCACATATCGGACCCGAGCGTCCAATCAGTGATCGACACGTCAAACCCGTGCCTCATCTCCCGATCCTCCTTCATTGGCTCGGCGTCCACGCCCCGAGGGGCACATGCCAACGCCATGGCAGGTGGGTGCTTGGGGCATATGGCATATGGCATAGTTCATAGGGCGTAGAGTCATGTTTCAGTTCATGTAGCGGTTGGGGCGTTGACTGATTCTGATGCTTTACGAATGCTCTCTCTCTACATCACGCACTCACACCCCGGGGGGCCCACGCCAATGCCATGGCAGGTGGGTGCTTGGGGCATATGGCCTATGGAATATGTCATATGGCATAGTTCATAGGGCGTAGAGTCATGTTTCAGTTCATGTAGCGGTTGGGGCGTCGAGTGATGCTTTACGAATGCTCTCTCTCTCTCTACATCACGCACTCACACCCCGGGGGCCCCACGCCAATGCCATGGCAGGTGGGTGCTTGAAGCATTGAGTCATGCTTTGAGAGGCTTCTCTTGTAAAGTTGAATAAGAAGTCGCTTGCTTTGAGAGACTTCTCTTGTTCAGTTGACTAAAACATCGCATGCTTTTAGACTTTTCTTGTTAAGTTGAATAAAACATCGCGTGATTTTAGACTTGTCTTGTTCAGTTGACTAAAACATAGCATGCTTTGAGACGTGACTTCCTTAGTCGACTAAGAAATCGGCTCACCACACACATGTGGAGTCATGTTTTGAGGTTTCTGTGATGCTTGCTACCTCTTGTGAGACGTCTCAAAAGTCAGAATCGGCTCACCACACACATGTGGAGTCATGTTTTGAGGTTTCTGTGATGCTTGCTGCCTCCACGTTCCGAGTACTGAGTACTGCCCGTGGTCCAAGGGTGCTGCGAAACCAAGAGTTCAGCTAGCCCTCTCCTCCCGCCCTCCCCTCTTCCCCCAGCTGTTCGTCTGGCAATCCACATCCCCACACACTCCCGTGCATCACTAATCAGCCAGCCGGTGTTGAGTTGTCTGAATTGCCCTTCCCCCCTCCGTCCCCTCTCTCCTCCCCCCAGCTGTTCGTCTGGCAATCCACATCCCCACACACTCCCGTGCATCACTAATCAGCCAGCCGGTGTTGAGTTGTCTGAATTGCCCTTCCCCCCTCCGTCCCCTCTCTCCTCCCCCCAGCTGTTCGTCTGGCAATCCACATCCCCACACACTCCCGTGCATCACTAATCAGCCAGCCTGTGTTGAGTTGTCTGAATTGCCCTTCCCCCCTCCGTCCCCTCTCTCCTCCCCCCAGCTGTTCGTCTGGCAATCCACATCCCCACACACTCCCGTGCATCACTAATCAGCCAGCCGGTGTTGAGTTGTCTGAATTGCCCTTCCCCCCTCCGTCCCCTCTCTCCTCCCCCCAGCTGTTCGTCTGGCAATCCACATCCCCACACACTCCCGTGCATCACTAATTAGCCAGCCGGTGTTGAGTTGTCTGAATTGCCCTTCCCCCCTCCGTCCCCTCTCTCCTCCCCCCAGCTGTTCGTCTGGCAATCCACATCCCCACACACTCCCGTGCATCACTAATTAGCCAGCCGGTGTTGAGTTGTCTGAATTGCCCTTCCCCCCTCCGTCCCCTCTCTCCTCCCCCCAGCTGTTCGTCTGGCAATCCACATCCCCACACACTCCCGTGCATCACTAATTAGCCAGCCGGTGTTGAGTTGTCTGAATTGCCCTTCCCCCCTCCGTCCCCTCTCTCCTCCCCCCAGCTGTTCGTCTGGCAATCCACATCCCCACACACTCCCGTGCATCACTAATTAGCCAGCCGGTGTTGAGTTGTCTGAATTGCCCTTCCCCCCTCCGTCCCCTCTCTCCTCCCCCCAGCTGTTCGTCTGGCAATCCACATCCCCACACACTCCCGTGCATCACTAATCAGCCAGCCTGTGTTGAGTTGTCTGAATTGCCCTTCCCCCCTCCGTCCCCTCTCTCCTCCCCCCAGCTGTTCGTCTGGCAATCCACATCCCCACACACTCCCGTGCATCTCGAACAAGTCAGCAAGGGGATGACGGTGCAGCTGCTGCTGCTGCTGCTGCTGCTGCTGGTGGTAATAATGGTGCGGACAGTGACGGATTTGCTGGTAGCGAGGCTGCTGATATGGAGTACGGATCGGCTGTGGAGTATGGGCTTATGGTGCTCGTGCTGCATGGGGATGAGAAGAGGTGAGTGGAGGGAGGGGAGGGGAGGGGAGGGGAGGGGAGGAGATTGGGACGGGAGGAGGGGGAGGGGAGAAGAGGGAAGGGGGAGATGGAGATGAGTGAGGGGAGCTAACCTAACCCCATGCCAGTGTCCTCGTCTACCCTCATTCTCATGCTCCGTCACGCCTCCCCCCCCACTCGTACTTACTCTGGCCCCTCCCAGGCAGTGGCAGCCCCACGAGGTGGAGATGGTGGAAGCAGTGGCAAACCCCCGGAGCATCTCGAATAGTGCCTTTCCTTTCCCTTCCCCCCCCCCCCCCCCCCCTCCTTCTCTCGCCCCTGTTCCTGCTCTTTTCTTCCTCAGGCAGTGGCAGCCCCACGAGGTGGAGATGGTGGAAGCAGTGGCAGACTGAGTCAATATCGCGGTTCTCTCACTTGCGTTCCCTGCCACCCCCTTCCCCTCCGTGCCATTCACAATCCCCGTCCTCCAGGCAGTGGCAGCCCCACGAGGTGGAGATGGTGGAAGCAGTGGCAGACTGAGTCAATATCGCGGTTCTCTCACTTGCGTTCCCTGCCACCCCCTTCCCCTCCGTGCCATTCACAACCCCCGTCCTCCAGGCAGTGGCAGCCCCACGAGGTGGAGATGGTGGAAGCAGTGGCAGATCAGGTGGCCATCGCGCTCTCACATGCTGCAGCACTGGAGGAGTCGCAGGTAAGCAGCCTCCCTTTCCCCTCCCCCCTTTTTCCACTCTCCTTACTTGAGTTGGGAACAACATACGAAGCAGTGGCAGATCAGGTGGCCATCGCGCTCTCACATACTGCAGCGCTGGAGGAGTCGCAGGTAAGCAGGACACACACTCTTTCTCTCCCCCTCTTTTCCACTCCCTACTTGACTTGAGAACAATGTGCAAAGCATTGGCAGACCAAGTGGCCATCGCCTCCCTCGTTTCCTCTCTTCCTTTCTTCGTATGATGAATGAAGGGGTGGTGGGTCACGTTTGAGAATTCTCAGAAGTGTCTCCAATAGTCATGCTGACCTGGTGGGTCACAGGTCAGCATACACCGCTTCCTTGTTCTCCAGTACTGGAGACACCGCTTCCTTGTTCTCCAGTACTGGAGACACCGCTTCCTTGTTCTCCAGTACTGGAGACACCGCTTCCTTGTTCTCCAGTACTGGAGACACCGCTTCCTTGTTCTCCAGTACTGGAGACACCGCTTCCTTGTTCTCCAGTACTGGAGACACCGCTTCCTTGTTCTCCAGTACTGGAGACACCGCTTCCTTGTTCTCCAGTACTGGAGACACCGCTTCCTTGTTCTCCAGTACTGGAGACACCGCTTCCTTGTTCTCCAGTACTGGAGACACCGCTTCCTTGTTCTCCAGTACTGGAGACACCGCTTCCTTGTTCTCCAGTACTGGAGACACCGCTTCCTTGTTCTCCAGTACTGGAGACACCGCTTCCTTGTTCTCCAGTACTGGAGACACCGCTTCCTTGTTCTCCAGTACTGGAGACACCGCTTCCTTGTTCTCCAGTACTGGAGACACCGCTTCCTTGTTCTCCAGTACTGGAGACACCGCTTCCTTGTTCTCCAGTACTGGAGACACCGCTTCCTTGTTCTCCAGTACTGGAGACACCGCTTCCTTGTTCTCCAGTACTGGAGACACCGCTTCCTTGTTCTCCAGTACTGGAGACACCGCTTCCTTGTTCTCCAGTACTGGAGACACCGCTTCCTTGTTCTCCAGTACTGGAGACACCGCTTCCTTGTTCTCCAGTACTGGAGACACCGCTTCCTTGTTCTCCAGTACTGGAGACACCGCTTCCTTGTTCTCCAGTACTGGAGACACCGCTTCCTTGTTCTCCAGTACTGGAGACACCGCTTCCTTGTTCTCCAGTACTGGAGACACCGCTTCCTTGTTCTCCAGTACTGGAGACACCGCTTCCTTGTTCTCCAGTACTGGAGACACCGCTTCCTTGTTCTCCAGTACTGGAGACACCGCTTCCTTGTTCTCCAGTACTGGAGACACCGCTTCCTTGTTCTCCAGTACTGGAGACACCGCTTCCTTGTTCTCCAGTACTGGAGACACCGCTTCCTTGTTCTCCAGTACTGGAGACACCGCTTCCTTGTTCTCCAGTACTGGAGACACCGCTTCCTTGTTCTCCAGTACTGGAGACACCGCTTCCTTGTTCTCCAGTACTGGAGACACCGCTTCCTTGTTCTCCAGTACTGGAGACACCGCTTCCTTGTTCTCCAGTACTGGAGACACCGCTTCCTTGTTCTCCAGTACTGGAGACACCGCTTCCTTGTTCTCCAGTACTGGAGACACCGCTTCCTTGTTCTCCAGTACTGGAGACACCGCTTCCTTGTTCTCCAGTACTGGAGACACCGCTTCCTTGTTCTCCAGTACTGGAGACACCGCTTCCTTGTTCTCCAGTACTGGAGACACCGCTTCCTTGTTCTCCAGTACTGGAGACACCGCTTCCTTGTTCTCCAGTACTGGAGACACCGCTTCCTTGTTCTCCAGTACTGGAGACACCGCTTCCTTGTTCTCCAGTACTGGAGACACCGCTTCCTTGTTCTCCAGTACTGGAGACACCGCTTCCTTGTTCTCCAGTACTGGAGACACCGCTTCCTTGTTCTCCAGTACTGGAGACACCGCTTCCTTGTTCTCCAGTACTGGAGACACCGCTTCCTTGTTCTCCAGTACTGGAGACACCGCTTCCTTGTTCTCCAGTACTGGAGACACCGCTTCCTTGTTCTCCAGTACTGGAGACACCGCTTCCTTGTTCTCCAGTACTGGAGACACCGCTTCCTTGTTCTCCAGTACTGGAGACACCGCTTCCTTGTTCTCCAGTACTGGAGACACCGCTTCCTTGTTCTCCAGTACTGGAGACACCGCTTCCTTGTTCTCCAGTACTGGAGACACCGCTTCCTTGTTCTCCAGTACTGGAGACACCGCTTCCTTGTTCTCCAGTACTGGAGACACCGCTTCCTTGTTCTCCAGTACTGGAGACACCGCTTCCTTGTTCTCCAGTACTGGAGACACCGCTTCCTTGTTCTCCAGTACTGGAGACACCGCTTCCTTGTTCTCCAGTACTGGAGACACCGCTTCCTTGTTCTCCAGTACTGGAGACACCGCTTCCTTGTTCTCCAGTACTGGAGACACCGCTTCCTTGTTCTCCAGTACTGGAGACACCGCTTCCTTGTTCTCCAGTACTGGAGACACCGCTTCCTTGTTCTCCAGTACTGGAGACACCGCTTCCTTGTTCTCCAGTACTGGAGACACCGCTTCCTTGTTCTCCAGTACTGGAGACACCGCTTGCTTGTTCTCCAGTACTGGAGACACCGCTTCCTTGTTCTCCAGTACTGGAGACACCGCTTCCTTGTTCTCCAGTACTGGAGACACCGCTTCCTTGTTCTCCAGTACTGGAGACACCGCTTCCTTGTTCTCCAGTACTGGAGACACCGCTTCCTTGTTCTCCAGTACTGGAGACACCGCTTCCTTGTTCTCCAGTACTGGAGACACCGCTTCCTTGTTCTCCAGTACTGGAGACACCGCTTCCTTGTTCTCCAGTACTGGAGACACCGCTTGCCTTGTTCTCCAGTACTGGAGACACCGCTTCCTTGTTCTCCAGTACTGGAGACACCGCTTCCTTGTTCTCCAGTACTGGAGACACCGCTTCCTTGTTCTCCAGTACTGGAGACACCGCTTCCTTGTTCTCCAGTACTGGAGACACCGCTTCCTTGTTCTCCAGTACTGGAGACACCGCTTCCTTGTTCTCCAGTACTGGAGACACCGCTTCCTTGTTCTCCAGTACTGGAGACACCGCTTCCTTGTTCTCCAGTACTGGAGACACCGCTTCCTTGTTCTCCAGTACTGGAGACACCGCTTCCTTGTTCTCCAGTACTGGAGACACCGCTTCCTTGTTCTCCAGTACTGGAGACACCGCTTCCTTGTTCTCCAGTACTGGAGACACCGCTTCCTTGTTCTCCAGTACTGGAGACACCGCTTCCTTGTTCTCCAGTACTGGAGACACCGCTTCCTTGTTCTCCAGTACTGGAGACACCGCTTCCTTGTTCTCCAGTACTGGAGACACCGCTTCCTTGTTCTCCAGTACTGGAGACACCGCTTCCTTGTTCTCCAGTACTGGAGACACCGCTTCCTTGTTCTCCAGTACTGGAGACACCGCTTCCTTGTTCTCCAGTACTGGAGACACCGCTTCCTTGTTCTCCAGTACTGGAGACACCGCTTCCTTGTTCTCCAGTACTGGAGACACCGCTTCCTTGTTCTCCAGTACTGGAGACACCGCTTCCTTGTTCTCCAGTACTGGAGACACCGCTTGCTTGTTCTCCAGTACTGGAGACACCGTTTCCTTGTTCTCCAGTACTAGAGACACCGCTTCCTTGTTCTCCAGTACTGGAGACACCGCTTCCTTGTTCTCCAGTACTGGAGACACCGTTTCCTTGTTCTCCAGTACTGGAGACACCGTTTCCTTGTTCAGAACTATGTCTGAACCGGTGGTACACCAAGTGGCCATTGCGCTCTCTCAAATGGCCTTTGCTCTCTTTCTCTAAACACAACATGCCCTTTCCACCCTCCTCACCACAACACACCCCTCCCCACCACCCCACGCTCCTTCCCACTGCCCCGCACCGCACAGAGGCGCAGGGAGGAGATGGCTGAGCAGAATGCTGCCCTGCAGGTGGCGCGGATTAGAGCAGAGGAGGCGATTCAAGCAAGGAACGACTTCCTGTCCGTCATGAACCACGAGATGAGGAGCCCCCTTCACACCATCCTCGCGCTCTCCTCGCTCATGGAGGTGCGTGCATGTCATGGCACGGTGTGTGCATGTGTGTATGTGTCTGCTACTCTTGGACGGATTCAAGCAAGGAACGACTTCCTGTCCGTCATGAACCAGGACATGAGGAGCCCTTTGCACACCATCCTCGCTCTCTCCTCGCTCATGGAGGTATGTGTGTGTGTGTGTGCGTGTGTGTGCCACGGTACAAGTACACACATGGAGGTATGTGCATGTTTGTGTTGTGTGCGCTCAGAAGTGCATGTGTCCCATGCCACGTAGTTGTTTGTGCGACTGAAGAATTCAATCCAACCAGCATGGGAATGCACCCCTTCCATTTTCCTTGAACTCTGTTCGTTGGCAAGTACGGTTTGGCATGGCGTGGTGTGGCTTGGTGTTGCATGGTATGGGAATGCATATGATGCCACGGCATGGCATGCGGGTGCACGACATGGGATGGCACGGGATAACATGACATGGTGTGTCTGATTTCACATTATATGGCATGGTATGACGTGTGGCATGACGTTGCATAATGGAATGGCATGGCATGGCATGACGTGGCAACAGGAGGACGATTTAACAGATGAGCAAGGACCGATGGTGGCCACTCTGACCCGCAGCGCCTCCATGCTCACATCGCTCATCTCCGATGTCATTGGGGTGGCACAGCGCCAAGAGATCAAGTAAGTACTGAACCGCACTGAACTATATGTTACCGCACTGAACCGCAAAGTACCGCACTGAACTGCATGCAGCAGAGGGCCCATGGTGGCCACTCTCTCCCGCAGCGCCTCCATGCTCACATCGCTCATCTCTGACGTCATTGGGGTGGCCCAGCGCCAAGAGATCAAGTAAGCAGAGATATTGTACTGTACTGCACTGTACCGCATTGAACCGCACGGTACCGCACTAAACCGCATGTAGTGGAGGGCCCATGGTGGCCACTCTCTCTCGAAGTGCCACCATTCTCACATCGCTCATCTCCGACGTCATTGGGGTGGCTCAGCGCCAACTATTGAAGTAAGGAGAGATGCGGCATAGCACTGAACCCACAGTACCGCATGCAATGCAAGTGCACCCCTCTCACCGATCAAAACCTGCACGGTGCACCATACATGGTTTGAGTTGAGCTGAGACATGTCCGTCACTTGTCTCCTCTCACCTCCCTCTCTCCAGTCTCGTGCTGTAGCACCGTCCGTTTGACCTGAGGCGAATGCTGCACGACGCGGTATCGTTAGCATGGCCCATGTTGCGAGCCAAGAGGCTGAGCTTCTCAGTATCCTCCCCACCTTCCCCTCCCTATCCCAGTCTCGTGCTGGAGCACCGTCCGTTTGACCTGAGGTGTATGCTGCACGACGCAGCGCCCCTAGCATGGCCCATGTTGCGAGCCAAGGGGCTGAGCTTCTCGGTCCCCTTTACCACCTCCCCCTACCTGTCGCCCCCCTCCCTCAGCCTTGTGCTGGAGCACCGTCCATTCGATTTAAGGCGAATGCTGCACGATGCAGCGTCCCTGGCATGGCCCATGATGCGAGCCAAGGGGCTGAGCTTCTCCGTGGTGATCGCCAGGGAGGTGCCTCGGCACGTGGTGGGGGACGAGCGCACCAAGGGGATTAAATCATTGAACTGAGTTGCATTGAGTTTAGACGTGTATGCTCAAGTATACCTCCTTCCCACCTCCGTTTTCTCTGTCTCCCCTCTCCAGTCTTGTGCTGGAGCACCGTCCATTCGATTTAAGGCGCATGCTGCATGATGCAGCGTCTGCCAAGGGAATTGAGATGAACTGCTTTGAGTCTAGTCGTCTATATTCAAGCATACCTACCTCCCACCTCCCTGCCACTCCCTCTCCCCGCGCCAGCCTTGTGTTGGAGCACCGTCCGTTTGACCTCCGAAGAATGCTGCACGACGCGGCGTCTCTAGCATGGCCCATGATGCGAACCAAGGGGCTGAGCTTCTCCGTGGTGATCGCCAGGGAGGTGCCTCGGCACGTGGTGGGGGACGAGCGCACCAAGGGGATTAAATCATTGAACTGAGTTGCATTGAGTTTAGACGTGTATGCTCAAGTATACCTCCTTCCCACCTCCGTTTTCTCTGTCTCCCCTCTCCAGTCTTGTGCTGGAGCACCGTCCATTCGATTTAAGGCGCATGCTGCATGATGCAGCGTCTGCCAAGGGAATTGAGATGAACTGCTTTGAGTCTAGTCGTCTATATTCAAGCATACCTACCTCCCACCTCCCTGCCACTCCCTCTCCCCGCGCCAGCCTTGTGTTGGAGCACCGTCCGTTTGACCTCCGAAGAAAGCTGCACGACGCGGCGTCTCTAGCATGGCCCATGATGCGAGCCAAGGGGCTGAGCTTCTCCGTGGTGATCGCCAGGGAGGTGCCTCGGCACGTGGTGGGGGACGAGCGCACCAAGGGGATTAAATCATTGAACTGAGTTGCATTGAGTTTAGATGTGTATGCTCAAGTATACCTCCTTCCCACCTCCGTTTTCTCTGTCTCCCCTCTCCAGTCTTGTGCTGGAGCACCGTCCATTCGATTTAAGGCGCATGCTGCATGATGCAGCGTCTGCCAAGGGAATTGAGATGAACTGCTTTGAGTCTAGTCGTCTATATTCAAGCATACCTACCTCCCACCTCCCTGCCACTCCCTCTCCCCGCGCCAGCCTTGTGTTGGAGCACCGTCCGTTTGACCTCCGAAGAATGCTGCACGACGCGGCATCTCTAGCATGGCCCATGATGCGAGCCAAGGGGCTGAGCTTCTCCGTGGTGATCGCCAGGGAGGTGCCTCGGCACGTGGTGGGGGACGAGCGCACCAAGGGGATTAAATCATTGAACTGAGTTGCATTGAGTTTAGACGTGTATGCTCAAGTATACCTCCTTCCCACCTCCGTTTTCTCTGTCTCCCCTCTCCAGTCTTGTGCTGGAGCACCGTCCATTCGATTTAAGGCGCATGCTGCATGATGCAGCGTCTGCCAAGGGAATTGAGATGAACTGCTTTGAGTCTAGTCGTCTATATTCAAGCATACCTACCTCCCACCTCCCTGCCACTCCCTCTCCCCGCGCCAGCCTTGTGTTGGAGCACCGTCCGTTTGACCTCCGAAGAATGCTGCACGACGCGGCGTCTCTAGCATGGCCCATGATGCGAGCCAAGGGGCTGAGCTTCTCCGTGGTGATCGCCAGGGAGGTGCCTCGGCACGTGGTGGGGGATGAGCGGCGATTGCTCCGCGTGGTGCTGCATATCATAGGCCATGCTATTGACGCTACTGATGAGGTGAGGGGGAGGGTTGCTATCGTTCTTTATCCATGTCATTAGGGGCAGAGCATGAGTGGTGCTGCACATCATAGGCCATGCTATTGACGCTACTGATGAGGTGAGGGGGAGGGTTGCTATGGCCTCATTGTACTTGTTCTTAGGGGCAGCAGTAGTAGTGATCGCACGGGAGGTGCCTTGGCACGTGGTGGGGTATGAGCGGCGCCTGCTGCGTGTGGTGCTGCATATCATAGGCCATGCCATCGACTCAACAGATGAGGTGCGACGGGTGGGAGGATTGCTTAGAGGTGCTGAGTGGTGCTGATTGGTGCTGCAGCAAGGGAGGTGCCTCGGCACGTGGTGGGGGATGAGCGGCGCTTGCTGCACGTGGTGGGGGATGAGCGGCGCTTGCTGCACGTGGTGCTGCACATCATAGGCCATGCCATCGACTCTTAGGGCACCATCTCTAAGGCTGTGGGTGGGCCTGTCAAATGTCAGTCATCGGGCGGTGCACGGGTTTTGAGACGTCTCAGAATATTGAGACGTCGAGTTTCGAGACGTCTCAAAACATCATAGGCCATGCCATCGACTCTTAGGGCACCATCTCTAAGGCTGTGGGCCTGTCAAATGTCAGTCATGGGGCGGTGCATGGCAGTTACGGGTCGGCATAGCAGGTTTGGAGGCACCTCAATGCCCAGCTCACTCGTTTTCTCCTTCCCCTGTTCTCTTGCAGGGTACCATATCTGTGGCTGTGGGCCTATCAGACGGCAGTCACGGGCCGGCAAGGAAGCCCCACATCGAGCATCCGTCTCACGCCTTCCACTCCGCTGTACGTTACCTTCCCTCGTTCTTTCCTGTGTTTCTTTCTTTGTTCTCTTCTTTCATTTTGAGTCGACTCAAAAACAGTTCCCTCGTTCTCTCCTGTGTTTCTTTCTTTGTCCTCTACTTTGATCCATTGAGCATCCTATCCACACCCTAACCGTGTGAGGGTGCGAGTCGCAGTCGTAAGCTCAGGAGGGAGGAATCACACCCCTGCACCGCCTCCAACCCCTCATGTGCCCTCTTCCCTTCCAATTCTTCCTCCTCTCCCCTCTCCCCTCTCTCCTCCCCCCCACTCACTCAGATCTCTCGTCAGGACCATGTACGGGTGCGAATTACAGTCACTGATTCAGGAGGGGAGGAGTCCAAACAGGCTTCGGTAAACCCTCACTTTCTTCACCTCATGCGCCCTCATTTCTCTCCCTCTCCTCCACCTCTGTACCCTACTCTGCCAGATCTCTCCTCAGGACCATGTACGGGTGGGCATCACAGTCACCGATTCAGGAGGCGAGGATTCCAAGCAAGCCCTTGCGTCCTTCTCACCCCCCTATTTTGTGCTTCCATGCTCACTTCCCATATTTATTTCGTACGTCTTTCCTCCCCAATCTCACAGATCTCCCGTCAGGACCATGTACGGGTGCGCATCACAGTCACCGATTCAGGAGGGGAGGAGTCCAAACTGGCCCTACTCGACCGGTTCGAGAAAGCAAGGGAGCGGGAGCAGCTGCTAAAGGGGCAGGCTATAGAGGGGATGAAGGCCCTGGGGCAGGATCCTTCAAACGTGGGCATAGGACTGTTTCTGTCTGGTCCGGAGGAGGCTTGGGTGGGGTGCACACGGGTACAAGGGGTGGTGGGGCCACAGGGAGGGATGGGGTCGGAGCTGGCTCGGAGGGTGGGAGACAGTGGTTTGCAGGCACATGCGCAGGACCATACACATACCCATGCACATGATGACCCGGTGACACATCCACATGCACATTCACATGCACATGCGTCGTCACATGTGCATGGCGATATACATGACTCAGCAGAGCAAAGGGCAAGCCGTACCTCCAGCAATGAGAGCTCTTACAGCCGAGCCTCACACGCCCAGCCTCCCGCACAGATGCCCCACCCTCTAGCACCCCACCCTCTGGCGTCCCCCCCTCTGGCTTCCCACCCGCTCACTCGTCCTCTGCCCGACACAACAAGCCACCTCACAGACCCCACGTACAGGAGCACTGTATCAGCAGCACAGTCCCACCTCCCCCAGTCTGACTCGGGCGATGTTTCAGCCGCAGCAGCTGTGGAAAGTGCTGCTGCATTAGCAGCTATTGAAGCGCCTCGAAGATCGCCAGCAGAGGATATGAGGGAGGCAGAGGCAGCAGAGGCAGAGAGGGAGCGGCAGGCGAGGATAAGTGAGCAGTTCGTGGCTCCCTCCTGCGCCATCTGTCAGAAGCTTCTCCTACTCATGGACGGGCATTACTGGAACGCCACTCAGCCTTCCGATCCCGGGGCTGCTACTGCGTTCTCCGTGCGGTTACTGTGTGACCGCACGAGGAGGAGGCACAGGAGGCGGCGGCATATGATGAATAGTTTGGAAGGATCGGGGGATGAGGAGTCGGGGAGTGAGGAGGATGGGGAGGGGGAGGGGGATGGGGAGGATGGGAGTGATAGTGACGAGTCGTCGTGCTCCATTGGCGCGTATATTCAAGAACTGGAGGGCATTCGCGTGCTGGTGAGTGAGTGAGTGAGTGAGTGAGTGAGTGCGTGAGTGAGTGAGTGAGTGAGTGAGTGCGTGAGTGAGTGAGTGAGTCCTTTTTTTGGATGCCCATCTTGTTTGTCTGCCTGACTCCCTCTTCCCACACCCTTTCCCCCACATGCTCCCTCGCTTCCTCTTGGCCTGCACACACACTTTTCCCACTTCCTTTGCCTGATCCCCTCACTCCCCTCCCCCTCCCTCCCCCTACCCCCGGCCTCCCTCCTCTCTCTCGCCCTCCCACCAGCTTGTGGAGGACAACGTGGCGAATCGCATCGCGACACATCAGCTGCTCCTGTCCCTGCACTGCCACGTCACCCTGGCCGCCAGCACACAGGAGTGCCTGTCAATCCTCTCGGGCAGCAGGAAGAGCCCGTCAGCCTCCCCCATTGCCGACATCGTCCTTTTGGATATCTGCATGCCGGATGTGGATGGGCTCGAAGCCGCCCGCTGCATACACAAGATGTTCCGGTGAGTCATTCCTTAAGCGCTTCAGGGACATGCAATCAAATATACCTGCCAGGGGATTCTCTCTGGCAGCAGACAGGAAGAGCCCATCAGCCTCCCCCATTGCAAACATTGTCCTGCTGGATGTGGATGGGCTTGAAGCTGCCCGCTGCATACACAAGATGTTCCGGAGAGTCATTGAGATAGTGTCCTTAGGCCCCTCATTGAGATACCTGCCTGCCTGAGACTTCTCTGAGGCAGCAGGCAGGACGAGGCCGTCAGCCTCCCCCATAGCAGACAGTGTCCTGCTGGATATCTGCATGCCCGATGTGGATGGGCTGGAATGGAAGCAGCCCACCTTTCACTCATTTGCTCGCGTTGGCATTGGCTGTGTTGCTCCCTTCAACTAGAAAAAAAGGATTCTTCTGTCTATGAACTGGACTAACTTGATTCCAAAATCCTCCTCTCCCCCCCACCCCCCACTTGTCATTGCCTTCCTCCCCAACTTGGATAGCCCTGACAACCGGCCATTTATTGTTGGCATCACAGCGAGAACGGACGAGGCTCTTGTGGCGGCATGCGGGACAGTGGGAATGGATGAGGTATTGTTAAAGCCGGTTAGCCTGCGCCAATTAGCAGCTGCCCTATGTCACGTCGTAGCCGCTATGTGATCCTGGAAGCTCTACATAATCAAACATCTAAGTTGGCATGAGCCATTGGTGATTTGGAGCCTGGCAAGTGCGCATGGTAGGCTGAAGGAATATTTCATATTTAAGGTGGCTTTTAGATCATAGAACTTCTTGAGCACGCATATCTTATTCCAAACGTTTATTTCGGAACTTTCGGGACACCTCGGTATCTTCACGCAACATTGGGAACTTCGATAGTAGTTCCATCAGCCATGCCCCTCCCCGATTCCCCCCCCCTTCCGCAAACCCTTCACATCCATACAAATTTTCCGCATGTCAGATGTTCCGGTGAGCCGCGCAGATATGTTTTCCGCACCACCCGCACTCGAGCTCCAAGCCTCCACCTCGTTTTCCGCCTCCTTGCCGCCTACCTTCCCCCTACGTTCCGCCTTCTCCCCAAGCTCCCCGCTTTCACTCCCCCCCACAGTAGTATGGGGATTCAGGGTTCCTGAATTCTGAGACCTTGGGGATTACTCAAGGAAATAGCAGATCCTAGTAGCTTGAACAGGCTGGAATCCCCTACGATCTCACGCTTCGGTGCAAGACCCGCGCTCGCGTATATTAAGCGCTTCTCATACGTATCCCGCATTACGTTGCGGTTGCCGGTGGGTGTTTAATGGTCGAATTACTAGTTCCTCGGACCTTAGGGCAAGAAGTTACTCAATAACTCGCGATAACGATCCATGACAAATCTCTGCTACAGTTATTTTGTCGAATCCATCTCCCCGTTCGACGTCCGCTGTGCTCGACCGTTGCTTGTGCCGGTTATTCAGGCGGCTTGACTTCTTGCTGGCTGGATATTTTGACAGCTGGACGCGTTGTAGCACAACCAAGTTCAGTTAGCGGTACTGATTCCCAGTGCAGTTCAAGCCGGCTCGTACTTCGACAAGTGCAGAGGACCGAGTGCAGTTAGCCGTACTTGTTCTCAGTCGTTTTCAGTTAGTACTAGAGCGGGGGACCGAGTATAGTCAGCCATAATGCCGCCGAAAAAGGAAGCGAAGGTGTCTAAAGCGGATCTTGCGAAGAAGCAGAAGGTTGTGGAGGATAAGACGTTCGGGCTGAAGAACAAGAATAAGAGCAACAAGGTTCAGAAGTATGTGCAGAACATGCAGCAGTCCGTGCAGGCGACCGCCAGACGGCAGGCTGCCGAAGATCCAGCCGTCGCCAGAAAGGTAACATGGTTACCCTATTTTTTTAATCTCGCTGGTAACCCGATTCGTGTTCGCGACGACTGGGATTCGTTATTCAACGCTGGAAAGTGGTTGCTTGTTGATGTCAGAAAAACGAAACTCTCTTTGGTAACCTGTTGATGGCCTTGCTACGTTCTTTGTCGGTTATGTTAGTTTCAGAGGATCTTTGCAGCTAAAGGATTCGACAGTTATCTAGAATGCTGGGCTAATGCACGTGAATGGGTTGACCGTGTTAACGTGCTTGTGTCGCGTTGCCTGTGATGTTCTTGTATGGGATGAATGTCGATGTGCTTGTATCGGGAGTGCAGAAGAAGAAGGAGGAGGAGGCGAGGAGGGAGAAGGAGCTGAACGATCTCTTCAGAGTCGCCATCTCTCAGCCCAAGGTCCCGCCAGGTACCTTTTCACTCAGCCCAGTACCTTGTTCACGGGGGCTTCTCTCGCTTTTGCTGTCATCGAAGAGGCGAGGAGGGAGAAGGAGCTGAACGAGCTCTTCAGAGTCGCCATCTCTCAGCCCAAGGTCCCGCCAGGTACCGTTTCACCCGCGCTTCCCTCGGCTTTGGTACCCTTCGAACCAAGCTTTCCTCTGATTTATTTTGCCATCACTCAGTCCAACATCCCGCCAGCCAGGTACACCTTTTCACGTGAGCTCTCTTCTCTCTTGCTACCCTGCAGCATCCCAAGGTCCCTCCAGGTACCGTTTCACCTGAGCTCTCCTCCCTTTTGCGGTCGCTCAGACCAAGGTCAAGTGCCCCGCAATGTGTTCCATGAGCTGAGATTCGTTCTCCTCCGCAATGTTTCCTTCCCTCTGTCCTCTTGCTATTTTTGAAACCCTAGATTCACCCAATGGCAGGCGTGGACCCCAAGTCGATCGTCTGCGAATTCTTCCGCCACGGGCAGTGCACCAAGGGCTTTTTCTTGAGCGCATATGCCGGCAGTGCAGTGCAGCAAGTGCCTTGAACCATTCCCTCCCCCTGTCCACGTCCTTCACCTCCCCCCCTTCCAGGCGTGGACCCCAAGTCGATTGTGTGCGAGTTCTTCCGCCACGGGCAGTGCACCAAGGGCTTTAAGTGCAAGTTCTCGCACGACCTGAGCGTGGAGCGCAAGGGCGAGAAGATCGACCTGTACAGCGACCAGCGGGAAAATGACGAAGGTGTGTGGTTGGGTGTGTGTGTTTGTGTACGTGTAGTTTAAGTGTGTGGTGGGGGAGAGGGGGAAGAAGGCGGGGTTGTGGCATTTGTATCCGCCCAAACGAGTTCTCGCACTGCCTGAGCGTGGAGCGCAAGGGCGAGAAGATCGACCTGTACAGCGACCAGCGGGATGACGAATGTGTGTGGGGAGCGGCGTGTGTGTTGTCGTAGGATGGGGAGGAGGGGAAGGATGTCTGTAGTTTTTGTGAGGAAGGGGCGAGAAGATCGACCTGTACAGCGACCAGCGGGACGACGAAGGTGTGTGATTGGATGTAGCGGGTGTGACTTTTGAGTCGACTCAAAGGTCACCTCGGAAGGCGGTTAAGCGCGTTGCGCGTGTGTGTGTACGGTGTGCGTGTGGCCGTGCTGTGCCCATCTCCTTCTCTCCCTATGCTCCCTATGCTCACTTATCTGTGCTCGTTGCGTGTGCCTGTGCGTGCCTGTTACTACCTGTGCGCCGGTATGCCCGTGTATGTGTGTTGCGCGGGTGTGTGTGTACAATGTGCGTGTGGCCGGGCCCATCTCCTTCTCTCCCTATGCTCACTCATCTGTGCCCGTTTGCGTACGCCTGTGCGCCTGTATGCCCGTGTGCGTCTGTGCGTCTGTGCGTCTCTGTGTGTGTGCGTCTGTATGCGTGTAGCTGTTCTGTACCCCAATTCATGGTCACCCATCTGTTTGCCCGTGTGTCTGTGCGGGCCTATTACTACCTGTGCGCCGGTATGCCCGTGTGCGTCTGTGTGTTTGTGTGCGTGTGCGCGTGCGAGCAGACAAGATGGAGGATTGGGATCAGGCGAAGCTGGAGCAGGTGGTGGCGTCGAAGAGATTCCGCTGCCTCTCTTTGCTCATGCATCTTTGTACTCGTGTGCCTGTGCGTGCCTCTCCCCCTCCCCGCATGCGAGCAGACAAGATGGAGGATTGGGATCAGGCGAAGCTGGAGCAGGTGGTGGCGTCGAAGAGATTCCGCTGCCTCTCTTTGCTCATGCATCTTTGTACTCGTGTGCCTGTGCGTGCCTCTCCCCCTCCCCGCATGCGAGCAGACAAGATGGAGGATTGGGATCAGGCGAAGCTGGAGCAGGTGGTGGCGTCGAAGAGATTCCGCTGCCTCTCTTTGCCCATGCATCTTTGTACTCGTGTGCCTGTGCGTGCCTCTCCCCCTCCCCGCATGCGAGCAGACAAGATGGAGGACTGGGATCAGGCGAAGCTGGAGCAGGTGGTGGCGTCGAAGAGATTCCGCTGCCTCTCTTTGCCCATGCATCTTTGTACTCGTGTGCCTGTGCGTGCCTCTCCCCCTCCCCGCATGCGAGCAGACAAGATGGAGGACTGGGATCAGGCGAAGCTGGAGCAGGTGGTGGCGTCGAAGGGCGCGGAGTACAAGAACGCCAACAAGCCCACCGAGATTGTACGTAGAGAGTGGTAGAGTGGTAGAGACGGATAGAGACGGGCATAAATGGGAATAGAGCGACAGAGAGTGGTAACAAATCATTGAGATATAGTAAGCTCGAGCAGGTGGTGGCGTCTAAGGGCGCGGAGTACAAGAACGCCAACAAGCCCACCGAGATTGTACGTCATCAACTGGGAGTGGTGGAGAGTGGTAGAGATGGATAGAGATGGGTATGAAGCGGTAGAGAGTGGTAGGGAGGCAGGGAGAGATGAGAAGCTGGAGCAGGTGGTGGCGTCCAAGGGCGCGAAGTACAAGAACGCCAATCCATCCACCCCCTCCTCCCCATTCCCGGCATCCCCCCCCATTCCCATGCTCTCTCCCCCCCATCCCCATCCCCCGGCTCTCTCACGCCGTTCTTATCCCCCCTTTCCCACCCCCCTGCAGGTGTGCAAGCATTTCTTAGAGGCGGTGGAGAAGAAGCAGTACGGGTGGTTCTGGGCGTGCCCCAACGGGGGCAAGGACTGCATGTACCGCCACGCCCTTATCCCCTCGTCCCCACCCCTCCATATTCACTGCATCCTCCTCCTCCATAATCCTGCATCCCCTCCCCACTCCCCTGCTTCCCCCCCCTTCCCCCCTGCTCTCCTCTTCCCGCTCTTCCTCTTCCCCCAGTCCCCCTCGTTTCCCCCCTGCAGGTGTGCAAGCATTTCTTGGAAGCGGTGGAGAAGAAGCAGTACGGGTGGTTCTGGGCGTGCCCCAACGGGGGCAAGGGCTGCATGTACCGCCACGCACTTACTCCCCCATCCCCCTCTCTATATCTCTCCATCCTTCCCCTCCATAACTGCATACGTTCTCATCTCCCTGCATCCTCCCCTCCCTCTCCCCCTCTTCCCCCCTTCCTGCTCCTGCTACCCTCCCTCTCCTCTTTTGCTGCAGGTGTGCAAGCACTTTCTCGAGGCCGTGGAGAAGAAGCAGTACGGGTGGTTCTGGGCGTGCCCCAACGGCGGCAAGGACTGCATGTACCGCCACGCTCTGCCGCCCGGCTACGTGCTCAAGTCGCAGATGAAGGCTCTGCTGGAGGAGGAGCAGGCGAACAAGCTGACCGTTGAAGAGATGATTGAAAACGAGGTGAGGGGAGTGGTGGGAGGCGGTGCAGGGAGGTACGGAGAGGTGTGGGTAGGCGAGGAAGGGTGGGACATGAGGGCGAGGCTACGTGCTCAAGTCGCAGATGAAGGCGCTGCTGGAAGAGGAGCAGGCGAACAAGCTCACCGTTGAGGAGATGATTGAAAACGAGGTGAGGAGGAGGTGGGTAGGAGGGGGAGAGGGTGAGGGGAGGGTGAGGGGAGGGTGAGGGAAGGGTGAGGGGAGGGTGAGGGGAGGGTGAGGGGAGGGTGAGGGTGGGGCATGAGGGCAAGGGGAGGTGGGACATAGATAGCGAGAGGGTGTGTGCTCAAGTCGCAAATGAAGGCGCTGCTGGAGGAGGAGCAGGCGAACAAGCTCACCGTTGAGGAGATGATTGAAAACGAGGTGAGGAGGAGGTGGGTAGGAGGGGGAGAGGGTGAGGGGAGGGTGAGGGGAGGGTGAGGGAAGGGTGAGGGGAGGGTGAGGGGAGGGTGAGGGGAGGGTGAGGGTGGGGCATGAGGGCAAGGGGAGGTGGGACATAGATAGCGAGAGGGTGTGTGCTCAAGTCGCAAATGAAGGCTCTGCTGGAAGAGGAGCAGGCGAACAAGCTGACTGTTGAGGAGATGATTGAAAACGAGGTGAGGGGAGATGAGAAGGAGGTAAGGGGGATGAGAAGCAGATGGGGAAGAGGCATCCTTAAACCGCTTCTCTGCCTGCATATGTGGCATCCTTCTTTCTGTATTTACTCTCCTCTCTTCCCCCTTTGCAGCGCAAGATGACAGCGAGCCACACGCAGCTCACAACCGAGATCTTCATGGAGTGGAAGCTGAAGAAGCAGGAGGTTTCAAACCCAACCCCTCTTCACGTCTTCTTCCTCTCTTCACATATTTGCTCTCCTGCCTCGTCTCCCTCTCTGCCCTGGCAGCGCAAAATGACAGCGAGTCGCACACAGCTGACCACCGAGATCTTCTGGAGTGGAAGCGGAAAAAGCAGGAGGTTCCAAACTCAACCCCCCGTCACATATTTTATCGTCCTCCCATCTTTTCTCCTCCCTCTCCCCTCACCCCACTGTCCCCCATCCTCTTTCTTGCAGCGCAAGATGACAGCGAGTCACACGCAGCTGACGACCGAGATCTTCATGGAGTGGAAGAGGAAGAAGCAGGAGGTGAAGGACGCTGAGCAGGCAGCCAAGAAGGCCGCACGCGCCAAGGAAGACAGAATGAGGTGAGTGAATCGTATGGGTACCATGGCTTGGGTATGAGGGGAGCAGATGCTGTGAGAAGCCAGAACCCCTCAAGTATCCCCCTCCTCTTCCCTTTTCTGCCTTCCCTTTTCTGCTTGTCTCGACAGTGGTCGTGAGCTGTTTCTGTCCGATGCCTCTCTTTTTTCATCGACGACGATGCGGCACGTGATGCGTACGAGCGAGTGGAGGAGAGCAGCTGCTGTGAGATCTCCTCATGTATCCTCCTCTTCCCTTTCCTATTTCTCTCCCCTCCCTCCCTTACCGTTCTGCAGTGGTCGGGAACTGTTTCTGTCCGATGCGTCTCTCTTTATCGACGACGATGCGGCATGTGACGCGTACGAGCGAGTGGAGGAGGAGGAAGGGGCCGCAGCTCCCCCTGCTGCCTCTCCAGTGTCAGAGCCCCTCATCTATCCCCCTCTTTCCTTATTCTGTCTCTCCCCTCCCTCTTCCCTCCCTCCCCTCCCTTGTGCAGTGGTCGCGAGCTGTTTCTGTCCGATGCGTCTCTCTTTATCGACGACGATGCGGCATGTGATGCGTACGAGCGAGTGGAGGAGGAGGAAGAGGCCGCAGCTGCCCCTGCTGCCACTCCAGGGGAATCCAGCAGCAGCGGTGGGGCAGGTGCAGGGCCTAGCTCAGCAGGGGGTGCGGCTGGTTCATCTGGTCTTGCTCTCACGGAGGAGGATGAGATGCTATTGGCTGAGGACGATGATGAGCTGGCACCGGAGGAGCTGGAGGAGTTGGAAGCTGAGCTGGCGAAAACATCGATCTCTTGAGTCGGGAGTGAGGAGATCTATGCAACAATAGATGGGATAATGCCATTGGCTGGGGTATGCTGAGCTGGCAGCACCAGTGGAGTTGGGAGGAACTGGAAGCTGAGCTGGCAAAAACTCTTAGGATGTTATAATGAGTGACAGGGCTGGTTCATGAGCTACCTGCGAAAGGGTAGTGTTGGAAAACCCCAACCTTGGGATTACTACGTACCAGGAAATTGGTGTTTTTGGAATGCATGGGGGCATTAGGCTCATTGCGATGACGAGGGGTTTGTTGGAACCTGCAAAGTCATCTATCTGTCTCAGTCAAGAAGAGTGGGCGTGCCTAGTGCCTGGATGCGAGAAGGGTGTAAAGACCTGTGTGAATGCATCATGAACATGTGCAAGCTCAATTGTGGTGGATGCAGACATCTGTATTTGCTACACAAATAGTTATAATATATTTTGTCCGAACAGATGTTTCATCCTTGCGCTAGTGCGAAGCATTTCGAATCGGAACATGAAATGAACCACCCGCTAATCTTTGCTCCCCTCAGTAAAAACCTTGAAACTTGACTCTCCCGAAAACCTCTACTGGAACCCTAGAAACCTTTGCGATTCGAGGACTTACGCTTTCGCGCACTTAGCTCTGACGCGATCGCTCCGGGATATTAAAATGGCGAAGAATTCGTAGACGATACCCAGTCGTCTAATGCTCGCAAGCTTGTAGCCTCTTGTTAGTATCCGGTCGCTTTGAATCAATTGAGAAATCTCATTTGCACGTGCACAAGCATGTGCACGCAAACACGAAATCAGGGTTATTACTAACCTTGACGTAGCCATAGGCAGTCATTGCTGATTGGGGTATCTGGAATCGTTTATTAGAGCTCGCAAAGAATTCGGTATCTGGTTTTCCCTGTAGAAAGCCATGGGGCGAATGGATCCGCTGTTTCGTTTTGACGGGGATGACGATAACGAGGATGGAGGGGAGGTTGCGGCGTGGGATTTCAAGGGCGCGGGGAAGACTCTTGCGGAGGAGTTCAAGGAGCGAAAAACAACGTCCGTTGATACCAAGATCGAGATGATCCGACGGCGGAGAGCGATGGGGCTTGGGAGCACGAAGAGAGGGAGAGAAGAGGAGGACGAGGAGGAGGAGGATGAAGAGGAGGAAGAAGAGGAGGAAGAGGAGGAGGATGAGGAGGAGGAAGAGGAGGAGGAAGAGGCAGAGGAAGAGGAAGACGAAGCGGAGGAGGAGGAAGAGGAGATGGAAGAGGAGGAAGAAGAGGAAGAGGAAGAATTGGAAGAGGAAGAGGAGGAGGAAGATGATGAGGAGGAAGAGGAAGAGGAGGAAGACGAAGAGGAGGAGGAGGAAAATGAGGAGGAAGAGGCGAGCCACAGGAAGACTAAGAAGGAGGTATGAATAAACGAGAAGGGATTGAGAGGGGTTCAACAGGTGGGTAGAGTGGTTAGAAGAGATGGGAAGGGAAGGGATGGGATTGAGGTAAGTCACGAGCATCTCGCACAACATCTAGGTTTCGGGTTCAGGGTTTATCACAGGTTCTGGATGTGGGAAGGATTTCTGCGTTACAAGCTCTAAGGTGTGGGTGAACGAAAACAAGCCTTTGTTGAAACGAAGATTGCAACGTCGGAACCAAACCAAACCAGACCAAAACAGCCTCAAAAGCCCTTTCGTCCTTTTCGAAGACCTCCAAAAGCCTTCCTTTTCCTTCTTCTGAGTCAACTCAAAAGTCACGTCGACTCAAAAGCCCTTTCCTCTTTTTTCGAAGACCTCCAGAACCCTTCTTTCCTTCTTCTCCCTCCCTTCTCCCCCCCACCCCCCTTGCCCCTACCCGGCAGCCCAAAATAAAAGATATCGAAAAGGCACCCAAGGCGAAAGCCAGGCGAGAAAAGGAAGGTGCAGGAAAGGGCGAAGGCGGGGAAGGGGGAGGCGGAGGCGGAGGCGGGGGGGTGTATTTCGAGGGGGCGGAGGAGGCAGGGGCGCGGTTCTCCGCGTCGTCCTTCTCAGAACTGCAGCTGTCGCGGCCGCTGCTGCGTGCGTGTGCTGCCCTGGGGTATGACAAGCCAACGCCCATCCAGGCGGCCTGCGTGCCGCTCGCCATGGCTGGGAGGGACATCTGTGGCAGTGCAATCACTGGCTCTGGCAAGGTGCGTTTTGCTCTCTTGTGCTGCTCCTGCTCATCTCCCACATTGCCCGTGTGCTGCCCTGGGGTATGACAAGTCCACGCCCATCCAGGCGGCATGCGTGCCGCTCGCCATGGCAGGGAGAGACATTTGCGGCAGTGCCATCACTGGCTCTGGCAAGGTGCGTTAGGGGATGTCGTGTTCCCTTGGCCATGGCAGGGAGGGACATTTGCGGCAGTGCAACCACTGGCTCTGGCAAGGTGCGTTTTGCTCTCGTGTGCTGCTCCTGTTCATCTATCACATTGCCCGTGTGCTGCTCTGGGGTATGACAAGTCCACGCCCATCCAGGCTGCATGCGTGCCGCTGGCCATGGCAGGGAGAGACATTTGCGGCAGTGCCATCACCGGGGTCTGGCAAGGTGCGTTAGGGGATGTCGTGTTCCCTTGGCCATGGCAGGGAGGGACATTTGCGGCAGTGCAACCACTGGCTCTGGCAAGGTGCGTTTTGCTCTCGTGTGCTGCTCCTGTTCATCTATCACATTGCCCGTGTGCTGCTCTGGGGTATGACAAGTCCACGCCCATCCAGGCTGCATGCGTGCCGCTGGCCATGGCAGGGAGAGACATTTGCGGCAGTGCCATCACCGGGGTCTGGCAAGGTGCGTTAGGGGATGTCGTGTTCCCTTGGCCATGGCAGGGAGGGACATTTGCGGCAGTGCAACCACTGGCTCTGGCAAGGTGCGTTTTGCTCTCGTGTGCTGCTCCTGTTCATCTATCACATTGCCCGTGTGCTGCTCTGGGGTATGACAAGTCCACGCCCATCCAGGCTGCATGCGTGCCGCTGGCCATGGCAGGGAGAGACATTTGCGGCAGTGCCATCACCGGGGTCTGGCAAGGTGCGTTAGGGGATGTCGTGTTCCCTTGGCCATGGCAGGGAGGGACATTTGCGGCAGTGCAACCACTGGCTCTGGCAAGGTGCGTTTTGCTCTCTTGTGCTGCTCCTGCTCATCTCCCACATTGCCCGTGTGCTGCCCTGGGGTATGACAAGTCCACGCCCATCCAGGCGGCATGCGTGCCGCTCGCCATGGCAGGGAGAGACATTTGCGGCAGTGCCATCACTGGCTCTGGCAAGGTGCGTTAGGGGATGTCGTGTTCCCTTGGCCATGGCAGGGAGGGACATTTGCGGCAGTGCAACCACTGGCTCTGGCAAGGTGCGTTTTGCTCTCGTGTGCTGCTCCTGTTCATCTATCACATTGCCCGTGTGCTGCTCTGGGGTACGACAAGTCCACGCCCATCCAGGCTGCATGCGTGCCGCTGGCCATGGCAGGGAGAGACATTTGCGGCAGTGCCATCACCGGGGTCTGGCAAGGTGCGTGTGTGTGTGTGTGTGTGTGGGTGTGCGTGCGTGTGTGTGTGTGTGTGTGTGGGTGTGCGTGTGGGTGGGTGTGTGTGTTAACCTGTCGCGTCCTTCTCAGAACTGCAGCTGTCGCCTCCAGGCAGCGGGTGTGCCGCTGGCTATGGCAGGCCGGGATATATGTGGGAGCGCCATCACAGGATGACTTTTGAGTCGACTCAAAAGTCATTATGGCAGGCCGGGATATATGTGGGTGGGAGCGCCATCACATGATGACTTTTGAGTCGACTCAAAAGTCACTATGGCAGGCCGGGATATATGTGGGAGCGCCATCACAGCATCAGGCAAGGTGCGTGTTGCTCTCTCGTTGCTCGTGCTGCTCCCGCGCTGCGCCTGCTCTCCCCATATTGGAGGCCTGCTGATTCGCCCCAAGCGGGTGGCGGCCACTAAGGAGGCACCTAGTGGTAAGACTCTCCCTTCCTGCCTCTGCCCCTCCCCGCCCACACAGACCGCGGCCTTTGCCCTGCCCATACTGGAGCGTCTGCTGTTCCGCCCCAAGCGCGTGGCGGCCACTCGTGTGCTCGTGCTCACCCCGACAAGAGAGCTGGCCGTGCAGTGAGTACTGTCCTTTATCGTTCTTTATGTTTACGAGCGGTGCAGCGTATGAGCGGGCGGTGCAGCGTATGAGCGGGCGGTGCAGCATATGAGCGGGCGTTGCAGCGTATGAGCGTGCGGTGCAGCGTATGAGCGGGCGATGCAGCGTATGAGCGAGCGGTGCAGTGTATGAGTGTGCGGTGCAGCGTATGAGCAGGCGGTGCAGCGTATGAGTGTGGGGTGCAGCATATGAGCGTGCGGTGCAGCGTATAAGCGTGCGGTGCAGCGTATGAGCGGGCGGTGCAGCGTATGAGCGGGCGGTGCAGCGTATGAGCGGGCGGTGCAGCGTATGAGCGGGCGGTGCGACGTATGAGCGGGCGGTGCGGCGTATGAGCGGGCGGTGCAGCGTATGAGCGGGCGGTGCAGCGTATGAGCGGGCGGCAGCGTATGAGCGGGTGGGGCAGCGTATGAGTGTGCGGTGCAGCGTATGAGCGGGCGGTGCAGCGTATGAGCGGGCGGTGCAGCGTATGAGCGGGCGGCAGCGTATGAGCGGGCGGCAGCGTATGAGCGTGAAATGTACCTCGTCGCACCTTCTTTTCTTATCATCCCTCCCCACGCACCCCACCAGAGTGCACAGCATGGTGGAGAAGCTGGCTCAGTTCACAGACATCCGCTGCGGCCTCGTGGTGGGCGGTTTATCGATAAAGAACCAGGAGGTGGCTCTGCGGTCAAGGCCTGATATTGTCGTTGCGACTCCTGGAAGGTGAGGGGGAGGGGGGACATGGAATGGGTTGGATGCGGTTGGATGGGGTGGGATGCGATTGGGGGTCAGACTGACCTTTCCATCAAGAGCCAGGAGGTTTTTTCTGCGCCCTCACCCTGACATTGTGGTTGCCAGTCCAGTCAGGTGGGGGCCTGCACAATGGCAGCGCAGACTTGAACCTGAGCGACCTGGCCTGAACAGTGGCTGACTGAACGTGCTATCGCCTTTAGATTCTGTTCCGATTCCGTCCGTTCCTGGCTTCCTTGCCTATCTCATTCCTTCCTTGCCCCACCCACTCAACCCCCAGGCTAACGGACCATCTGCACAAGAGCCAGAGCGTTGACTTGAACGACCTTGCCGGGCACGCACTCTGCTCACACCCTTGCCTATCTACTCACACACATACTCACAACCTTGCCTATCTACTCACACACATACTCACAACCTTGCCTATCTACTCACACACATACTCACAACCTTGCCTATCTACTCACACACATACTCACACCCTTGCCTATCTACTCACACACATACTCACTCTCTCCCCTCCAGGCTGGTGGATCATCTGCAGAACAGCCAGAGCGTTGACTTGAACGACCTGGCCATTCTGGTGCTGGACGAGGCTGATAGGCTGCTGCAGCTGGGGTTCCAGGAGGGGGTGATGGAAATAGTAAGTGCTGCCCGAAATAGTAAGTGCTGTCTAAAATAGTAAGTGGGGTTGTTTTGGTGCCATTCTGGTGCTGGACGAGGCTGAGGGTACGTTCCTATCCCGTGTCAGACATCAAGTCATGCGGCCTTAGTCTCTAATTTGTCTCTTCCGAACTTCCAATCGCCCCAAAAACGAGCCACTTCAGGTCTTCCGAACCTCCACTTCGTGTCAAACCTAATCTCCTCCTCCCTGCCTGTCCCCTCCTGCCTGTCCATCAGGTGCGGGTGTGTCCCAAGCGCCGCCAAACTCTCCTATTCTCGGCCACCATGAGCGGGGAGGTGCAGCAGCTCGCCAGCCTGTCACTCAACCTGCCGGTCCGACTGTCTGCTGATGCTTCCATGCAGCGCCCACGGACACTGGAGGAGGAGTGAGTGATGGGTTAGCACTGTGAGTGAGTGACTGATTGGGGAGTGACTGAAGGGAATGCTGGGGGAAGAGTGGGGGGAGGTGCAGAGGTGCAGCAGCTAGCAAGCCTGTCGCTCAACCTGCTGGTGTGGCTGTCTGCTGATGCTTCCATGCAGCGACCACGGACACTGGAAGAAGAGTGAGTGAGAAAGGAGGAGAAGAAGATGAGGGCTGGAATGGGGAGGGGAAAGAGGAAGAAGGGATGTGCTCGCATGCTGTGTCTGTCTGCTCCGAGTCTCATGTCTTGTCACCCACCCCTCCCTGTGAAGGGTGGAAAAGGGGAAAGAGGAAGAAGGGATGTGCTCACGTGCTGTTTCTGCTGCTCCAAGTCTCACGTCTCGTTTTACGGGAGATTTTTGACAATTCTAAACTTCCATGAATTCTCGTGCTGTGTCTGCTGCTCCAGGGCTCATGTCTTGTTTGGAGGCGCCTCAGGCTGGTTTTTGAGAATTCTCAAAAACCATCTCATGTCTTGTCTTGTCTTGTCTTGTTTGGAGGCGCCTCAAAACTAAACTTCTCTGTTTCTCCCCTTGCCATGCCTTCGTCATGCACCCCCACCCCACTCCTTCCTCGCCCACTCCTTCCTCCCCCACCCCTTCCTCCCCCTCTCCAGACCAGAGTGGTTCGGGTGCGATCGTCTCAAGAGGCAGACAGAGAGGTCATGCTGCTCGCTGCGTGCTCTGGTTGCTCAAAACAAAACCCATGCTTCCTACTCACTCCTCCCACTGCTCTAAGTCGACTCAAAAGTCACCTCGACTCAAAAGTCGACTCTTGAGTCGACTCAAAAGTCTGCTCAAAACGAAATCCATGCTTCCTACTCACTCCTCCCCCTGCCATCCCCCCATCCTCCCCCACTCCCTCCTCACTCTCTCCCTCCTCCTTCTCTCCCTCCTCCCCCGCTTCCTCCTTCCTCATTCCCTCCTGCCTCCCCTTTTCCAGAGTGGTTCGGGTGCGATCGTCTCAGGAAGCAGACAGAGAGGCGATGCTGCTTGCTGTGTGCTCCAGGCTCGCCCAAACCGCTGGCGCAGGCTCGGAAGGAGGGACGGAAGGTGGTTCGGAAGGAAGAGAGGCAGGAGATTCAAGAAGAGGGGAGAAGCGGAGTAAAACACAGGGGGGGGGTGGAGTGATTGTTTTCAGGTGAGCTTTGAATCGACTGAAATGGCACCTCGGATATAGGAGGAGGGGAGAAGAGGAGAGAGGAGTAGTAAACCACAAGAGGGAGGACGAGTGATCATCTTCAGATACGTTTGTGCAGATGGTGTGGTGACGCGTGAAATGGTTCTGACGTGTCATGTGCTGCTGCTGACGTGGCTCCTGTTGCCCAGCATGTTCCATTGCAGGCTCTTCCTTGGTTTTTTTTTTTTTTTTTTTTTTTTTTTTTTTTTCAGCAGGCTCTTGCATGTTGCCCAGCATGTTCCAGCGAAGAGGATCCTCCTCAGCTCTTCCCTGGTGGTTAAGCGCGCCATGATCATATGCTGACGTGGCACCCGTTTCTCCCTCCGGTGGTCCTTTTTGTCTGTTTGCAGTGGCCGCAAGGTAGAGGCGCATCGGCTGAAGATTATATTTGGTCTGCTTGGATGGCGGGCGGCAGAGCTACACGGGAATCTCACCCAGGCCATGAGACTGGATGTGAGGGAGATGTGACTGTAATGGATGTGACTGTAATGGATGTGACTGTAATGGATGTGACTGTAATGGATGTGACTGCATGTGTTGTGCTATGGCGGGCGGCAGAGCTACACGGGAATCTCACCCAGGCCATGAGACTGGATGTGAGTATATGTATAATGAATGAGAGGATGTGATTCTATTGGATGCTGACTGTACTCAGTGTTAGTGCCTGAAACGTTTCCCTTGCAGCCTGCACCTTCACAGCGTTTCAACTTTCGTTTCAACTTTCGTTCCTCATTCGTCCGCACACCCATGCATCGTTCCCTCCTCTGCACAAGTGTACGCCTTTTCAGGCGCCTCAATAGCCGTTCGTTCATTACTGTACTGTACAGTGTACACCCCTGCCCACCCTTTTGAGTCGACTCAAAAGTCACTCCGTCCGTTCATTACTGTGCTGTACTGTACAGTGTACACCCCTGCCTGCCCTTTCCTGCACGATGTTATCCCCTCACGTGGGTGACTTTTGAGTCGACTCAAAAGTCCCCTCACGAGGGTGCTCAGGCCTTGGCTTGGAGCGATTCCAAACGCACGATGATTGCCACATCGCTCCAAGGCCTTAGACTTTCTGATCGCCACTGACATCGCTGCTTTGCCTCAGAAATCTATCATGCCTCTCCGCTCCCTGCTCGTACATCTTGTCCTCCTTTCCCCGCTCGTACCTATGTTGCCCCACTCAGGCTTTGGAGCGATTCCGAACGCACGATGCGGACTTTCTGATCGCCACTGACGTCGCTGCCAGGGTGCGTGCGCTTGATAAAAGCTTTTTATGAAAAACTTTCAACTGGGTGCGTTTGCAACAACTGCGTTTGATAAGATGTTTTTGTGTTTCCCCGTGTTCTTTCCTTTGTCGCCTTCTGCTCATCCGTTTTGGAATTTATCAAGTATGCGTAGGTATTCCTCTCTCAAATGTATTCCCTTGTTTCCATTCTCCTTTTCATTCTCTGCATTTCAAAACCTCTCCTCCCCCGGACTCCATTCCATTCAGGGTTTGGACATTGCTGGAGTGCAAACGGTTATCAACTACCACACGCCGCGTGAAATCACCAAGTGAGTGATTTCAAATTGCAGTGGTGAGCATTTCACAAACCAGAGCGTTTATCACTGTTACTTCCCTTCCTTCCCCCGTCGTTTCTCTCCTTCCCTCCCATCCCATCCCATCCCATCCCATCCCATCCCATCCCATCCCATCCCATCCCATCCCATCCCATCCCATCCCATCCCATCCCCATCCCATCCCATCCCCATCCTTTGTTCTCCATTCTCCTCCAAACACCCCTACCCATCTCCCCTTTCCCCAGCTACGTGCATTGAGTGGGGCGGACGGCACGGGCGGGGAAGATCTGATCATCCGTGACGTTTGTGGGGGAGAAGCAGGATGGGAAGAAGGAGGGAAAGGGCGGACAGATGATCCTCCCCCATCTCCCCTGCCTCCTCCAAGCCACCGTTCCTAACCTCCCCACCCCGCCTCCCCTGCCGTCCCCCCATCCCCTTCCTCCTAACCTCCCCACCCCGCCTCCCCTGCCGTCCCCCCATCCCCTTCCTCCTCCCCCCTCCCTCCCTCTCCCCAGCTACGTGCATCGAGTGGGGCGGACAGCGCGGGCGGGGAAGATCGGATCATCCGTGACGTTTGTGGGGGAGAAGCAGGATGGGAAGAAGGAGGGAAAGGGCGGACAGATGATCCTCCCCCATCTCCCCTGCCTCCTCCAAGCCACCGTTCCTAACCTCCCCACCCCGCCTCCCCTGCCGTCCCCCCATCCCCTTCCTCCTCCCCCCTCCCTCCCTCTCCCCAGCTACGTGCATCGAGTGGGGCGGACAGCACGGGCGGGGAAGATCTGATCATCCGTGACGTTTGTGGGGGAGAAGCAGGATGGGAAGAAGGAGGGAAAGGGCGGACAGATGATCCTCCCCCATCTCCCCTGCCTCCTCCAAGCCACCGTTCCTAACCTCCCCACCCCGCCTCCCCTGCCGTCCCCCCATCCCCTTCCTCCTAACCTCCCCACCCCGCCTCCCCTGCCGTCCCCCCATCCCCTTCCTCCTAACCTCCCCACCCCGCCTCCCCTGCCGTCCCCCCATCCCCTTCCTCCTCCCCCCTCCCTCCCTCTCCCCAGCTACGTGCATCGAGTGGGGCGGACAGCGCGGGCGGGGAAGATCGGATCATCCGTGACGTTTGTGGGGGAGAAGCAGGATGGGAAGGAGGGAAAGGGCGGACAGATGATCCTCCCCCATCTCCCCTGCCTCCTCCAAGCCACCGTTCCTAACCTCCCCACCCCGCCTCCCCTGCCGTCCCCCCATCCCCTTCCTCCTAACCTCCCCACCCCGCCTCCCCTGCCGTCCCCCCATCCCCTTCCTCCTAACCTCCCCACCCCGCCTCCCCTGCCGTCCCCCCATCCCCTTCCTCCTAACCTCCCCACCCCGCCTCCCCTGCCGTCCCCCCATCCCCTTCCTCCTAACCTCCCCACCCCGCCTCCCCTGCCGTCCCCCCATCCCCTTCCTCCTCCCCCCTCCCTCCCTCTCCCCAGCTACGTGCATCGAGTGGGGCGGACAGCGCGGGCGGGGAAGATCGGATCGTCTGTGACGTTTGTCGGGGAGAAGGACAGGAGGCTGCTGAAGGCGATGGTGAGAGAATGAGAGAGGGAAGGGATGTAGGAGGAGAGAGCACGGTAAGGGAAGTTAGGGTCAGCTGTGACGTTTGTGGGGGAGAAGGACAGGAGGCTGCTGAAGGCGATGGTGAGAGGATGAGAGAGGGAAGGGATGTAGGAGGAGAGAGCACGGTAAGGAGGGAAGCTAGGGTCAGCTGTGACGTTTGTGGGGGAGAAGGACAGGAGGCTGCTGAAGGCGATGGTGAGTAGTGTGGGAGGGGTAGAAGGAGAGTGCGTTGTTCAAGGAAGGAAGGGGAAGAAGGAGGGAAAGAGCGGACAGCACGGGCGGGGAAGCTAGGGTCAGCTGTGACGTTTGTGGGGGAGAAGGACAGGAGGCTGCTGAAGGCGATGGTGAGTAGTGTGGGAGGGGTAGAAGGAGAGTGCGTTGTTCAAGGAAGGAAGGGGAAGAAGGAGGGAAAGAGCGGACAGCACGGGCGGGGAAGCTAGGGTCAGCTGTGACGTTTGTGGGGGAGAAGGACAGGAGGCTGCTGAAGGCGATGGTGAGTAGTGTGGGAGGGGTAGAAGGAGAGTGCGTTGTTCAAGGAAGGAAGGGGAAGAAGGAGGGAAAGAGCGGACAGCACGGGCGGGGAAGCTAGGGTCAGCTGTGACGTTTGTGGGGGAGAAGGACAGGAGGCTGCTGAAGGCGATGGTGAGTAGTGTGGGAGGGGTAGAAGGAGAGTGCGTTGTTCAAGGAAGGAAGGGGAAGAAGGAGGGAAAGAGCGGACAGCACGGGCGGGGAAGCTAGGGTCAGCTGTGACGTTTGTGGGGGAGAAGGACAGGAGGCTGCTGAAGGCGATGGTGAGTAGTGTGGGAGGGGTAGAAGGAGAGTGCGTTGTTCAAGGAAGGAAGGGGAAGAAGGAGGGAAAGAGCGGACAGCACGGGCGGGGAAGCTAGGGTCAGCTGTGACGTTTGTGGGGGAGAAGGACAGGAGGCTGCTGAAGGCGATGGTGAGTAGTGTGGGAGGGGTAGAAGGAGAGTGCGTTGTTCAAGGAAGGAAGGGGAAGAAGGAGGGAAAGAGCGGACAGCACGGGCGGGGAAGCTAGGGTCAGCTGTGACGTTTGTGGGGGAGAAGGACAGGAGGCTGCTGAAGGCGATGGTGAGTAGTGTGGGAGGGGTAGAAGGAGAGTGCGTTGTTCAAGGAAGGAAGGGGAAGAAGGAGGGAAAGAGCGGACAGCACGGGCGGGGAAGCTAGGGTCAGCTGTGACGTTTGTCGGGGAGAAGGACAGGAGGCTGCTGAAGGCGATGGTGAGTAGTGCGGGAGGGGTAGAAGGAGAGTGCGTTGTTCAAGGAAGGAAGGGGAAGAAGGAGGGAAAGAGCGGACAGCACGGGCGGGGAAGCTAGGGTCAGCTGTGACGTTTGTGGGGGAGAAGGACAGGAGGCTGCTGAAGGCGATGGTGAGTAGTGTGGGAGGGGTAGAAGGAGAGTGCGTTGTTCAAGGAAGGAAGGGGAAAAAGGAGGGAAAGAGCGGACAGCACGGGCGGGGAAGCTAGGGTCAGCTGTGACGTTTGTCGGGGAGAAGGACAGGAGGCTGCTGAAGGCGATGGTGAGTAGTGCGGGAGGGGTAGAAGGAGAGTGCGTTGTTCAAGGAAGGAAGGGGAAGAAGGAGGGAAAGAGCGGACAGCACGGGCGGGGAAGCTAGGGTCAGCTGTGACGTTTGTCGGGGAGAAGGACAGGAGGCTGCTGAAGGCGATGGTGAGTAGTGCGGGAGGGGTAGAAGGAGAGTGCGTTGTTCAAGGAAGGAAGGGGAAGAAGGAGGGAAAGAGCGGACAGCACGGGCGGGGAAGCTAGGGTCAGCTGTGACGTTTGTCGGGGAGAAGGACAGGAGGCTGCTGAAGGCGATGGTGAGTAGTGCGGGAGGGGTAGAAGGAGAGTGCGTTGTTCAAGGAAGGAAGGGGAAGAAGGAGGGAAAGAGCGGACAGCACGGGCGGGGAAGCTAGGGTCAGCTGTGACGTTTGTGGGGGAGAAGGACAGGAGGCTGCTGAAGGCGATGGTGAGTAGTGTGGGAGGGGTAGAAGGAAGAGTGCGTTGTTCAAGGAAGGAAGGGGAAGAAGGAGGGAAAGAGCGGACAGCACGGGCGGGGAAGCTAGGGTCAGCTGTGACGTTTGTGGGGGAGAAGGACAGGAGGCTGCTGAAGGCGATGGTGAGTAGTGTGGGAGGGGTAGAAGGAGAGTGCGTTGTTCAAGGAAGGAAGGGGAAGAAGGAGGGAAAGAGCGGACAGCACGGGCGGGGAAGCTAGGGTCAGCTGTGACGTTTGTGGGGGAGAAGGACAGGAGGCTGCTGAAGGCGATGGTGAGTAGTGTGGGAGGGGTAGAAGGAGAGTGCGTTGTTCAAGGAAGGAAGGGGAAGAAGGAGGGAAAGAGCGGACAGCACGGGCGGGGAAGCTAGGGTCAGCTGTGACGTTTGTCGGGGAGAAGGACAGGAGGCTGCTGAAGGCGATGGTGAGTAGTGCGGGAGGGGTAGAAGGAGAGTGCGTTGTTCAAGGAAGGAAGGGGAAGAAGGAGGGAAAGAGCGGACAGCACGGGCGGGGAAGCTAGGGTCAGCTGTGACGTTTGTGGGGGAGAAGGACAGGAGGCTGCTGAAGGCGATGGTGAGTAGTGTGGGAGGGGTAGAAGGAGAGTGCGTTGTTCAAGGAAGGAAGGGGAAGAAGGAGGGAAAGAGCGGACAGCACGGGCGGGGAAGCTAGGGTCAGCTGTGACGTTTGTCGGGGAGAAGGACAGGAGGCTGCTGAAGGCGATGGTGAGTAGTGCGGGAGGGGTAGAAGGAGAGTGCGTTGTTCAAGGAAGGAAGGGGAAGAAGGAGGGAAAGAGCGGACAGCACGGGCGGGGAAGCTAGGGTCAGCTGTGACGTTTGTCGGGGAGAAGGACAGGAGGCTGCTGAAGGTGATGGTGAGTAGTGCGGGAGGGGTAGAAGGAGAGTGCGTTGTTCAAGGAAGGAAGGGGAAGAAGGAGGGAAAGAGCGGACAGCACGGGCGGGGAAGCTAGGGTCAGCTGTGACGTTTGTCGGGGAGAAGGACAGGAGGCTGCTGAAGGCGATGGTGAGTAGTGCGGGAGGGGTAGAAGGAGAGTGCGTTGTTCAAGGAAGGAAGGGGAAGAAGGAGGGAAAGAGCGGACAGCACGGGCGGGGAAGCTAGGGTCAGCTGTGACGTTTGTGGGGGAGAAGGACAGGAGGCTGCTGAAGGCGATGGTGAGTAGTGTGGGAGGGGTAGAAGGAAGAGTGCGTTGTTCAAGGAAGGAAGGGGAAGAAGGAGGGAAAGAGCGGACAGCACGGGCGGGGAAGCTAGGGTCAGCTGTGACGTTTGTGGGGGAGAAGGACAGGAGGCTGCTGAAGGCGATGGTGAGTAGTGTGGGAGGGGTAGAAGGAGAGTGCGTTGTTCAAGGAAGGAAGGGGAAGAAGGAGGGAAAGAGCGGACAGCACGGGCGGGGAAGCTAGGGTCAGCTGTGACGTTTGTGGGGGAGAAGGACAGGAGGCTGCTGAAGGCGATGGTGAGTAGTGTGGGAGGGGTAGAAGGAGAGTGCGTTGTTCAAGGAAGGAAGGGGAAGAAGGAGGGAAAGAGCGGACAGCACGGGCGGGGAAGCTAGGGTCAGCTGTGACGTTTGTGGGGGAGAAGGACAGGAGGCTGCTGAAGGCGATGGTGAGTAGTGTGGGAGGGGTGAAGGGGGGGGGGGGTGGGATGGGGAGGAGAGGTGGTTGAATATGTGGCAGCATTGTGTGATGGGATTTAAACTCCTTCCATTCCCCCCTCCTTGCACCTTGCAGACAAGGCGGCCGTGATGAAGCAGCATTTTTTAGGCGCCTCAAAAAAAAAAAAAAAAAAAACGTCTTTTGAGGCGCCTCAAACCTCAAAAATCGTCTGCAGACAAGGCGGCCGTGATGAAGCAGCATGATGGCATACCACCCCCTTCAACCTGAAACGAGGTGACTTTTGAGTCGACTCAAAAGCCACCTAGCAGCATGATGGCATACCACCCCCTTCAACCCGAAACGCTTGGTTTCTCGTCACTGCCCCTCCCTCACTGCCCCTCCCTCACTGCCCCTCCCTCACTGCCCCTCCCTCACTGCCCCTCCCTGACTGCCCCTCCCTCACTGCCCCTCCCTCACTGCCCCTCCCTCACTGCCCCTCCCTCACTGCCCCTCCCTCACTGCCCCTCCCTCACTGCCCCTCCCTCACTGCCCCTCCCCCACGCGCTCCCTTACCCCAGACGAGGAGGGCAGGCAGGAAACTGAAGCAGAGGCGGATAGCCCAAGCGGCTGTGGAGAGGTGGCGGCAGCGGGTGGAGGGCATGGAGAGGGACGTGGGGGATGCAATGTGGTGTCCCATGTAACCTTCTTCCCCTCCCTGCACCGTTTCTTCGCCTGCAGACGAGGAGAGCAGGCAGGAAGCTGAGGCAGCGGCAGATAGCCCAAGCGGCGGTGGAGAGGTGGCGGCAGCGGGTGGAGGGCATGGAGAGGGATGTAGCAGCTGTGATGAAGCAGGAGACGGAGGAGCGGGTGCTGAGAAAGGCAGAGATGGAAGCAGTCAAGGTGGGTGGGTGTGTGGGATGGGTGGGTTGGGGGGGAGGGAGGGTGGGGGGGTGCAGTGTGTATGGTATAGTATAAATCAGTGGGTGCGTGGCGGCAGTGATGAAAGCAGGAGAGGGAGGAACGGGTGCTGAGAAAGGCAGAGATTCAGTGTGGGTGGGTGGGTGCACTGTGTGTAGTATAGTTCCGTGGGTGTGTGGCGGCAGTGATGAAAGCAGGAGAGGGAGGAACGGGTGTTGAGAAAGGCAGAGATGGGAGCAGTGAAGGTGGGTGGGTGAGTTTGCTGCCTTGTGGTCGGCTCAAAAGTCACCTTGAAGCACCCAGGAGAGGGAGGAACGGTTCTGAGAAAGGCAGAGATGGAAGCAGTCAAGGTGGGTGGGTGCAGTGTGTGTATAGTATCATATAGAGGGTGTGTGGCAGTACCGTTTTCCTCCTTGCTTCTCATCACTCCCTCCACTTGTCTTGCTCACTCATCCCTGCCCTACTGCCACGTCAGGCTGAGAACATGCTGACTCACCGCGACGAGATATTCGCCAAGCCCAAGCGCACGTGGTTCCAGAGCAAGAGGGAGAAGGAGGCAGTCGCAGAGGCGGCTAAGGCTGTGGCTGATGCTGAGGAGGAGGGTGGGGAGGGAGGCAGTGGGAAGGGTGGTGGGAAGGGAGGAAAGGGGGGAGGGAAGGTGCTTTCGTTGGAAGAGGTGCAGGAGAAGAGGAGGAAGGAGAAGATGAAGAAGCAGCGAGAGGTGAGCAGTTGACGATAGAAGGTGAGTTATCTGCTTCTTAAGGGCCCAAGAAGCGAGGGTGCCCAAGCGCACGTGGTTCCAGAGCAAGAGGGAGAAGGAGGCCGTCGCAGAGGCGGCTAAGGCTGTGGCTGACGCTGAGGAGGAGGGCGGGGAGGGCGCCAGTGGGAAGGGCGGGAAGGGGGGAGGGAAGGTCCTTTCACTGGAGGAGGTGCAGGAGAAGAGGAGAAAGGAGAAGCTGAAGAAGCAGCGGGAGGTGAGCACTGAGCTGTATGATCCTGTGAGGGGAACAGTGAGATGCTGAGAGGTGGGAGGAGAAACAAAGTTAAACTTCTAAGGAGGAGGTTCAGGAGGGTAGGAGGAAGGAGAAGCTGAAGAAGCATCAGCGAGATGACATATTTTTCCATTCCCTTTTCGCTTTCCCTCTCCCTTCCCCCCTCCAGAAATCCCTCCCTAGGAAGAAGCGTCGAACGCTAGAGGCAGAGAGGCAGGCACAAGGGGAGGAGGCAGAAGCGCATCCCTTTGGGTCCCCAACTGCTGCCCTCACTCTCCACACTTCCCCTTTCTGTTTCCGATTCTCCTCCTCTCGCCCTCCTGTTCTCCAGAAATCCCTTCCCAGGAAGAAGCGCAGAAAGCTAGAGGCAGAGAGGCAGGCTCAAGAAGAGGAGGCAGAAGCACAAGAATTCGGGCTGGATGAAGAAAAACCCAAGGCTGGAAAAACAAGAGCCGATCTGGCTTACCGCAAGGCCAAGGCAATCAAATCCGCGGAGCGGCTCCGAGCAGCTGGAAAGATTGTCAGCCTGCCCAAGGCGGGCGGCCGGGCAGCTGGGAAGAAACCGAAGCAGAAAACGCAGTCCCGGTCTCGAGAGATGAAGGATTTGTTTCAAACGGATATGGCCAAGGGCAAGGGAGGAGGAGGGGCAGGTGGGGCAGGAGGGGAGGTGAGGGGGAAAGGGAAGGCTGGAGGAACTTTCAAGAGCAAGAAGCGGTGAGTTCTTGTGTCATTGCAGCTGTTATTTCTTAGACTTTTGAGATTTCCCAAGAGGAAATCAGGGTTGTGTTCTGCTGTGTTCTGTATTTCACATACGGTACAAATGTGTTTACTCAAGGTTCAAGCATTGTCTCTTTCTCCCGTTGCATCCTGTTCTTCCCTTGACAGGTACAAGAGGCGGTGAGTGATGCAAAATGAAGTTTATGTAGAAAGGTTCAGACAGTACAGTGTATTCAAGAGGCTCATACTTTAATTACTGTTGGAAGGGGCTGCACGTAATTTGTGCCTCATGCTAAGATAGCTAGTGTAATCTGCCAAGCCTCGATTACTGTACAATATGGTACTGTTAGCAGTGTGCAGTAACTAATGTTTATGTTTCTAGGAGTCTGCTGCGCGCCAAATTGCTGAAGGAAAAGCTCGATTGGATTTCCATCGCACCAGCTTGAGTGAGCTGGCACAGGTAGGAAAGTACGGGATTACTCGCTAGCACATTGGTTTGATGAGTCATCTCATCACGGGCCTAGCATCCGTCTGCAACAGCACGATAGCGCAGCTCTCTCTAGTTTAGTGAGCAGTGCACTGCCAACAAGTCCACTCCACATGGTCCCTGTGGCAACATTGATACCAACAGCTACAGAGGCACACGCGTTCTACACTGTCGCGAAATGGAATCATGTCTAAGAAACTCTCAGCGAGTCACAGGCTAGGCATCTAGTCGCTGAAGCAGCATTCTCTAGCGTGCACAGCCCACAAGACCACATGGCCCCCGTAGCAGCATTATTGGTCGAGGTACCCGCATCCCCACCACCACCACCACCACCAACAACAATGGCTGCAGCAGCAGGGGTGTCATCGATTACAATGGCTGCACTAGCACTGGTACCACCAGCAGCAGCAGCAGAAGCAGCAGCACCGCCACTGCCACCAACACCACCACCAGCATTACTTACACCAATCACCATCTCTGCTTTGGCATTCACATTGGCACTGGTACCAGCAGCAACAGTTACTGAGGCACCGCCAAAGGCAGGGCGAGAGGAGGGTCGCACTGCGAAGCATGCTTCGCACTGAAGCACGATGCCCTGAAAGACACACACGCACGCACGCACGCACGCACACACACACACACGGAGAGAGGGCAATGAGTTGACCGGGTGGAGTGACAGAGCACAAGTGGTTTTTGGCTCCTGTGCGACAACACAAAAGCAGTGCTGCTGCCACTATTTACAAGGAGCCTCAGGATCCGTTTCACTTTCTGGGGTGCGTCAAAAGAGGAGTAAAAAAGTGCAAGCAGGTGAAGCGGTCGAGTGCGTCCAGTGCTTTGCCTTTCACTTACCCGGTTGATCAGAGTGCAGACAGGACATGCCCATGTGTCTGCTCTATCTGCTCGCTGCTCTCCCCCTGCTGCATCCTCTTCTCTGACGCCACTGCTGACTCTTGTGCTGTGCTCAGAATTCTCCCCTCCTGCTGCACTGCCAACAGCAGCACCACCAGCAGTCACCTTTCTCCTCCTACTGCTCTGCTCTAAAGAGTCACTTGGCCGCTTCCTTGTGCCACCAGCCCTGCTCATGTCCCCCGTTTTGATGCCATTCGTAACTTGTACACAGTCACAACCACCGTTACAGTCACAGTTACAGTCACCATGGCGGATGCCCTGAAGCCTGGAAACGTCACTCTGCGCACTTCCACTCCTCAGCCTCTCTCTGTCTGCCCCTCTTTCATCCCTCTCCAACCCAAAACCAGCAGCACCACCAAAACCTTCACCCATAGCCATTCCTCCTCGACCGTCGTCTCTACCGTCGTCTCTACCATCGTCTGTACCATCGTCTCTACCATTGCTTACTCGCTGCTGTGGCTCCCCAACCCCCTCACCCACTTCCCTCGCACTCTCCCACTCCTCCTCTTCCTTCTCCCTCGCCCCTCCTTGTCCCCTCTCCCCTCCCTCTCCCCTTTCCCCTCCCTCTCCCCCCTCCCCTCCCTCGCTCCCATGCCCACCACACCATGCATCGTCCCTCATCCTTCTTTCTGCTGCCATAGCTGCTGCCTGCACCGGACTCAACACCTTCATAATCTCACTGTCGCCGCCCAATCGCCGCCCGCCAGCTGGCATCATGATCCGCTGCTGCTGCCGCCTCCGCTCAGCTGACGCCGCCGCTGCTTTTCTGCTTGCCACGTCAGCAGCAAACTGGGCAGAAGAAGCACCAGCTACACCACGAGGAGGGGTGGCAGTGGAAAGAACACCAAACGAGGAAGAACCAGCAGCAGCAGCAGCAGCAGCCGAAGTAGCAGAAGTGCCTAAGCGGACTGGGCGGATGGAGGGATAAGCAGAGGAGCCGAGGCGGTGGCCAGATCCCCCAAAGGGAGTTCCTGTAATGCCTCGTGCTATGAGTTCGTCACACTCCTGTTTACACGAGGTTGTGCGAGGGGAGGGGACACACATGCACACAGACAGACAGAGGGCAGACGAACACACGGTGAACAAGAGGAGCCGAGGCGATGACCAGAGCCCCCAAAGGGAGTTCCTGTTATGCCTCGTGCTATCAGATCGTCACATTCCTGTTTACACGAGGTTGTGCGAGGGAAGGGGGCACACACGCGCACAGAGGACAAATGGAAGGGGTGGGGCAGGTGTTTGGAAAGGAAGCAAGGGCGGCGAGGCACTGCATTTCGATCGGTTGATGTATCTACTATGTACAAGCAGGTTTTGCAACTATGCGTCGTACTATCAGATCATCACATTCCTGATCGCATGGGTTGTGCAAGGGGAGGGACGGAGGGAGGGCAGAAGAACAGGAAGCCAGCATGGGGCGGGGAAATACGATTCGGACACAGTGAACACCCCCAAAGCACATGTTCAGGTGCAGCACAGGGCACTCAAAGTATTCTTTCGTCCAGCAGCTTGTAGAACTTGGCATCGTGGGGGCCTCGTTCAATGTGGGTGAGCTCGTGAAGCGTCGTGCCCAGCACATGGTCGTATGGGAAGAAGATCCTTTTGAGTTGACCCGAATGTTTGTATGTGTATGTATGGGAAGAGAGGGTTCAGCACCCGGTGGTCACCTCATTGAGTTCATCCAGTAGCTTGTAGAACTTGGCATCGTGGGGGCCTCGTTCGATGTGGGTGAGCTCGTGAAGCATGGTGCCCAGCACATGCTCGTATGGGAAGAACGAGTCCGGCTTGCCTGTTCAGTCCAGCCATGATTGCAGTAAGAAGAAAAGAAGAGAAAAAAAACAAACGAATGGGCGCCTCAAAAGTTGCAGGCAGTCAGCCCGTGTGAAATCTTGAAGATTGCGTGTGAATTGACACGATGCAAACAGCTAAGCATGAAAAGATGTGAAGCATGGTTCCTCGCAGTTCCTGATGCTTGCTTGCCTGCAGGTCTGAGTCGAACTCGAATCTCCCTCCCTCGGTTGATGTTGAGTCCCAGGAGACGCGCGTTGCTGGGACTGTGGGAGGGGATAATGGGTTTGGGACAGTCAAAAGCTTATCATGGTGTGAATGTGAACGAGAATGATGGAGAGAACGAGAAGTCCGTAGCATAAAGGAAAACGAACTTGCTCGTCATTCAACTCACACCTGAATTCAGACAGCAACGGGACTTTCCATCGGCGTCGAAGCATAATCGGCTCCACCTGCTTCGCCACTCGCTTCAACAGGCTTCTCATATTAATTCGACCAAAAACCCACATCTACTTGGGTGCACACCTGAACTCAGAGAGCAGAGGAACCTTCCATCGCCGTCGGGCCATAATCGGCTCCACCTGCTTCGCCACTCGCTCCAGCAGGCTTCTCGCCCTAATTCGAATCCAACACCAACCTGTTTCAGTGCGTCTACAAGGGTGCACACTGCACACCTGAATTCAGAGAGCAGTGGCACCTTCCATCGGCGTCGGACCATAATCGGTTCCACCTGCTTCGCCACTCGCTCCAGCAGGCTTCTCGCCTCGTCGCTGCGCTTTTGCCGCTTCAGCGCTCTGATCTCCCACACCTTGTAAAGACTCGGCGATCCCGACGCTCCGTTTCCCGCTATCGGCGCCATAACTACACGCACAGCCACATATACATGCAGGGACTAATATACTTGAGAATTCCACACGTCGTAGCTCAACAGTCCCGACGTTCCGTTTTTCGCTAGTTGTGTCGTAATCCCGACATACTCGACATCCATAAATTAATATTAGCCTACAATTCGGGAAAAAGCGGGATCTCGCTACTAGTGCGACTATGGAACCAGACGAATGCATAGGTGGCCCAACTATGCGACTATTATTGCGCAGCTCTGACTACACTTGGATCAGGGACGAAGCTGCTTCAAGCTGACGCCATCTTATGCTGGTGACTTCCTTCGGACGTGAAGTGCTGGTGTGTGTCGGCGGTGCTCTGTGAATCCCAAGAATTCCTCCTCTTTTCCCGCCAGCCCAAGCGAAACGTAGGGCCCTAAACGTAGGTTCCAGACGTTGACGATCATCCTTGCGATCGCCAGCTGGTTACATGCCGGCGAACGACTCGATTCAGCAGGACGCAGGACGCTTCGTATCATGCAACGTTCGCGGCTTTTGACGGACGGGCAGCTATTCCCTTGTCAGCAGCTCCCTGCCCAGACTTGTTAGGAAGGGGACCAACCAGCTGGCCGTCTGTAAAATAACCCCGCGTCACAAACGAACCAAAATCAAGGTTATTGTGCACGTGTGGCCGATAGTAACGATGACACCATCGAAGGAAACGGACGGCTGATATCACCTCGATTGCACGTTGTTGGGAGCTCATCGGATAACCCTGAAACTGCCCCATCAATCAGCGTCGTGCCGCATGCGAAATTTGCCATTCCAGCCCCACCTGTCCATCCTCAGTGGGCACAAGAACACAACCTCCAGGTTTTGGCTGCCGTTCGATGAAGAAAGATCGTCGGTTCAGGGTGGCTGTACTTGCTGGTTGTACGGCTGGGGGTCTAGTCTGTTCAAGGATTTCACGAATCTCAGAAGGCTGGTTACGAGAGAGATGGAAAGAAGAGAGTCCATGATGTTCGCTGCATGTTACCACATACAACGACGGCAATCAGTTGGGCACGAAACCAATTGACGAAGAGCACAGCTTAAGACGAAAATTTTGCGAGTTTCGCATGCTGCCGACAACACCGAAGGCTTGACGAAGCTGGGAACAGTAGCGCAGACTCGCTGGGCCTGCTCCACACCAGCGTTGGCGCTTTGCTCAACGATCGCAAGCACGCACAAGACACAGTGGTCTACTCTGCTAGCATTGGCTGTCCCGACAGCGAGCCAAGCAGCAGGAAACCAGCTCAGAATGGAGAGTTGACTCAGCAGGGCAGGCTTGCAAGTTTGGCTTCCACGCAGTAAGAAACCAGCTTGGCATTGCTTCTTGCGATAATTATTTGACAGTATTGACATTACTAATTTGAGCGAGCCTGAGAAAATAATCCAGTGACGTCCATATTTTTACTAAGTTATGTTCACCGTTGCCCAGTCATAGGCTACCCTCAAAGCGCTACGACACACATCCGCTGTAAAGGTTTCCACTTTTCGTTCCTGAACCTACGCCTCAAATTTAACCTCGACAACGTCGCTTACTTTTTATCGCAGTCTAATTTCTGACATAGTAATACAATGTCGAGTGCGAGTGGAATCCATGCTGATTGCTCGCGGAAGCGCACATGGCTGTTCGGTCGAGTCGGGACTCCAGGCCCTAACGATATCTCGTGTCCCGCATCGTTGGTCGAACTCGCGTTCGGCGCGCTTATCCCCGCTGTAAGCGCTTACCACTCGCGAGAAGCCGCTAGAATATCGCAATCAGAACCGTCGGCTGCTCTTTCTGAGACGTCGCAAAACACAGACGCCGGGGTCGCGCAAACCGCGGAACTGTTGGTCGCGGATGCGGAGAAGGAGGCGGAAAAGGCGGAGAAGGAGGCAGAGCGACACGGTGCGCGTGTGGCGTGGAAGTGCGATCGACTGCTACAAGTCTTGAGCGCGTGCCTTTCGGAGCTTGACCCTTGGAACGATGGGGACGGAGACACAGGTAACAATACCGCAATCGGGCCATGGTATACACGCCAATCTTTGGAAGTGACCTTAATAAGAGAGTCCTCAGTGCGTGCCTTTCGGAGCTTGACCCCTGAAACGATGCGGACGGAGACACAGGAAATATTACCGTAAACGGGCCATTGTAAACAAGCCAGACTTTCTGAGGCGCCTCATAATCTGAGTTTCAACGCGTGCCTCTTTTTTTTTTTTTTTTTTTTTTTTTGCGTGTCCATGCCTTCGGCGCGTTGCCTCCCTCACGAGCAGAGACTATTGTGAAATAGTTTTTACTGGTTACTGAAAGGCAAAGCCGATTTGCGACGTCTTAAAACACGACACTGCATACAATATGGGCTGTGCATATAATACAAACGCGCAGTTGGCCAGATACTGCGTTAATGCTCGTACTTTAATCTCCACCGTCCATTCCGTTGTCCTTTCCAATATTTTTTGCAGACGACTATAATCGCAGCGCCGTTGGTCAGAGCCGCGTGTCTTCCTCTATAGTCACCTCCAGTTCTATCGCCAGCAGCAGCGCGCTCGGCAGCAGTATGTGCGGCGGAAGCAGGGGCGTCCTCAGCCGCAGCGCCACCCGCCCATACCGCCCGTCCACTGGAACAGGCGCAGGGGGAGGCGGAGTGGGCGGAGGGGGAGGCGGAGGAGGGGGAAGGATCAGTGGCATTGCGAGGGCGGTTAGTCTAGGGAGTGACGTGGGGGCAGTGGCTGTCCCCGTTATAGGCAGACAGCAGTTTCAGCAGAGGTCTGGCGGGACAACTCCTGGCGGGAGCAGGGGCACGTCCCCCATACACGGTGCAGACGGTCCCGTTATAAGAACGGAGCCTTTTACTAAAGCGAGCGCTGCTGCGTATGTGCAACGGTTCCACTCCCCCCAGGTAGCCTCCCCAGCCCCACCAGCAGCAGCAGGAGCAGCAGCAGGAGCAGGAGCAGGAGGAATTGCGGACACCCCTCCTCGCACGCACGTGCGCCGTCGATCAGCCGACTTGCGTTCGAACCTCTCCCTCTCGCACTCCGCCTCCGTCCCTGATGGTTCCACAGACTCCACAGCCCCTAACCTGGCTAGAGCCGGTGGTTCGGGGCCTATTATGCCCCGCCTGCCCGCTTCTGCTTCCGTCCCAAGCGGAAGAGGAGGGGGAGCGGGAGGGGGAGGGGGAGGCGGAGGGGGAGGGGGAGGGGGAGGGTCTACGACGAGCAGTCCGGGCCGGGATTGGTCGGAGCAGCTGTCTGTCACTGACGCGCCGTTCCTGCCGGGTAGGTGCCACCCTCCAAAACCCCCCCTCCCCCTAGCGGACTTTTGAGTTGACTTAAAAGCAGGGATTGGCCGGAGCAGCTGTCTGTCACTGATTCGCCTTTGCCATCTCCCCCCCTTGCGTTGTCCTCCCTCCAGCTTGCCTCTTCGCTTACCTCACTCCATTTTCCCCCTTCGCTCCAGCCTCCCCCTGTGTTGACCCCACTCCCGACCTCCTGACCCTGCCGTATTTGTTTTCAACTCTCCACTTCCTGCAATCCCTCCACGCTATCCCTCTCAGGCTCATCATGCTTCGACCTCACAGCGTGTCCTTCACTGGCATTGGAGTGGAACGATCTCTTCTTTGCCGTACAGGACGCCATGGCTGCGTATGACACGCTGCTGCTGCTGATATGCTGCTGCCCCATCTCCCCCCCTCCTCCGGGCCCCACTATTCCTCCCTCCCAGGCTCGTCTTGCTTCGACCTCACAGCGTGCCCCTCTCTGGCAATAGAATGGAACGATCTATTCTTCGCTGTACAGGACGCCATGGCTGCGTATGACACGCTGCTGCTGGCGCCGCTGACCACTGGCGCGCTGCCACGTGGCAGCGAGGTGAAGGAGCTCCAGCAGATGGCGGATGAGCTGGCAAGCATGGCCCGGGACAGGATGAACGGCTCAGATGAGGTGAGAAATGATGGACGGCTCAGATGAGGTGAGAGGGATTGTGTTAGTGAGGTGCTGGATGGAAGCATTATAAGATGTTGAACCAGATTTCCCTCTCAACTCGTTCCATCGTATCTGTCTCCCTGCTCGTCAACCCTGCCTCTGTCCCCGTCTTTCCATTTCTACTCTTCCCTGCCCTGCTCTCGTTAAAACGTCTCCAGACGGTTTCCCCTTGTTCCCCTGTTTCCCCTCCCCTGCCCTTTTTCCCTTCGATTTGTCACTCCAGCCCATCTTAATTCGGCCCCCCCCATTCCGCCCTGCTCCCCCATCCTCTCCCCCTCCCCCTCTTTCAGGGCGATGCACGCCGTTGCCCCCTGCTGCTAGTCCGCCTCTTTGCTCTGCGGGTGAAGCACTCCAAGGGACCTCATTACAGCTCCAAGGCACCTTATCCCCTCTTTCCGCCCCTTCCCTCCCCTCCCCTCATCTTTCAGGGCGACGCCCGCCGCTGCCCGCTGCTGCTGGTGCGCCTGTTCGCCCTGCGGGTGAAGCAGGAGACGCAGCAGCTGCTGACCGTGTTTCCAGAGGCTAAGGACGAGGAACAGCAGACACAAGAGGAGGGGGCGAAGGGCGAGGAGGGGGATACGAAGGCAGAGGGTGCAGCAGGGGTAGTAGAGCAGGCAGCAGAGGGAGAAGGAGAGGGGGGAGCAGAGGGGGTGGCAGGAGCAGCAACTGAGAATGGTGTCAGTGAGAACTTCAACACTCGTAAGCTTCAGCAGCAGCAGCAGCTAAGCGGGAAACAGCAGCAGACGGCAGAGAAACGGCAGCAGCAACAGCAGCAGCAGGTGCAGCAGGTGCAGCAGTTGCAACATCTCCAGCAGCAAGCCGCCTCCTCTCTCCTCACAGAGATCTCAAACGAGATAGAGGAAATATTCTCAGCCTGTAAAGGCTCCCTGTACGGTCTTGGGATCACCCACGCTCGCTCCCTCTCCCGCCTTTCACTTCTGGGAAAGGCCGTTCGCGCAGCAGCAGAGGGGGCAGGAGAGGAGGATCTCACGGTTCTGAGGGATAGTCAGGAGTTGGGAGGGGTTCAGAGGAAGGTGGGTGGAGAAGCGGTGGGGGCAGCTGGGGAGGGCGTATCTGCGTGGAGGGATGGGCTGGGGGAGGTGGGATCTGGTGTGGGGGCAGGCGGTGGGGGGAGGGAGGTGCCTCTGCTGGTGTGTCCTCAAAACTACTGGGCTAGGCTGAGTGCCGAGTGTGACAGTAATGAAGGGGGCGCCTTAAAGGAGGTGATTGTGTGGGAAGACGGGATGGGAGAGCTACGAAATCTGTTCAAGTCAGCAGCAGCTGCTACTGCTGCTGCCACTGCTGCTGCTGCCGCTGCTCCTAGTCCTGCTGGTGGTGGTTTCAGTAGTGGGATGCTTTCAGGGAAGGATGAGGGGGAGGATGGTGGATTTAGCAGCAAGGAGGTATCACCCCGGTCTCCCAGGGGGCCCTTGGCTCGAGATGACGAGAGCAGGAAGAGCAGCAGCGGTGGCAGCACCGTTGGCAAACCTGCAGCAGCCTCACGCCCGTCTACTTATCATGGTAAGGATGGTGGGTTCAGTGGTGGGATGCTTTCAGGGAAGGAGGAGGGGGAGGATGAGGGTAGCAGGGAGGTATCACCCAGGTCTCCTAGGGGACCCTTGGCAAGGGATGACGAGAGCAGGAAGAGCAGCAGTGGTGGCAGCACTGTTGGCAGACCTGCAGCAGCCTCACGCGGGTCTACTTATCATGGTAATCACGCTCTCTAGTTGTATTTCAAGTCGACCCACAATTTACTGTTGGCACACCTACAGCCTCACGCGGGTCTACTTATCATGGTAATCACGCTTCTACACAACAAACCGCTCTTTGTGTCTATCTATCCTAATAATCATTCTTTTTACTCTCCTGTTTGTCCTGCCCCTCACCCATCTCTTCTCATGCTTCTCATCTCACCCATCTCTACTCATGCTTCTCATCTCACCCATCTCTACTCATGCTTCTCATCTCACCCATCTCTACTCATGCTTCTCATCTCACCCATCTCTACTCATGCTTCTCATCTCACCCATCTCTACTCATGCTTCTCATCTCACCCATCTACTCACCCTCCTCCTCATCATGCAGGAGCGTCTCTTTCTGTGGCTCAAAACAGCAGCCGCCCCAACCAGCGCCTGTGCTCGCAGATCTTATTAGATCGCATAACAGATCTGATTTGGTACACCAAGTGGGTCGGGTGTAGCGATCCTGATGATCTCCCACTGGCCTGTATCCCCTCTGTAGTGCCGGTGACCATGCTTCTTAACGAGTTGGGCGCGCCTAGGTCTAAGGAATCGGATCTGCTCATGTGTCACCGCTCTGAACTCCTCCATCTCGTGCTTCCGGATTTCCGGGAGAAAGTGCAGCAGCGATTGGTGGAGGAGGAGTTGGGTTGGATGAGTGAGGGCAGTGGGGTAAGAGGAGGGGTGGTAGGAGGAGGAGGTGTAGGAGGAGGGAGAGCAGCAGCAGTTAACGTTAGGGTTTCCAAAGCCGCAGCTGCCGCTGCCGCCGCCGCAGCCGCTGCCACTGCTGCTGCTTCAAGTGGGGCAGGCACCCCCACTGGCCGATCGAACCTTCCCGGCACTCCCACCACTCCTTCTGCTGCTGCTATAGCAGCCCAACGGGAAGGGAAAATAGGCGGGCAGATCGGGAGCACCATATATGAGAGCGGCCGAAGCGACGCCACAGGTTCGGACGGCAGCAGCTTCAGCTTCGGCAAGCTGTCCGGCCGAGGCTCTGACCGAGCCTCCGACCGAACCTCCTGCCCGACCCCGGGCCTGGCGCACCCCACTGCCAACCCCTGGGGACGCATGGGGGGAGGCTTCGGAACAGGATCAGGCACGGGCATGGGCATGGGGATGGGGATGGGCATGGGGATGGGGATAAGCATAGGAGTGATGGGTGCGGGACTGTCCCGGCAAATCCCTTTAGAGGAGATTTTAGCAGCGACTGACTCGTGGGATCCGAGGAGGAAGCTTGGAGAGGGAGGGTTCGGGTGTGTTTACAGAGGGGACGCTGCTAACGGGGAGGTGTGGGCTGTGAAGCGGGCGAACACGGTTTCAGACGAACAGCTGGAGGAGTTTGAGAAAGAGGTGAGAATCGGTGGAGTGCGGTATGGATGGATGAGGTATACAAGAGGGGTATGTATGAGGCACGGATGAGGTATATATGAGGTGAACGAGATCTCTGCCACTCCTTGTCACTCCTTGTCAATCCTTGCCACTCCTTGCCACTCCTTGTCAATCCTTGCCACTCCTTGCCACTCCTTGTCAATCCTTGCCACTCCTTGCCACTCCTTGTCAATCCTTGCCACTCCTTGCCACTCCTTGTCATTCCTTGCCACTGCTTGTCACTCCTTGGTCACTCCTTGAATCCGTACTCCTATGTTTCCCACCCCTCCCAGGTGTCCTTCATCAGTCGCATGGCCCACCAGCATCTCGTGTGCCTCTTAGACTACTATGCCATTTCTGTGACCCCTCGTCACTCATTGTCACTCCTTGACACCGCACTCCTGTGCCCCTCTCCGCCCCTCCCAGGTGTCATTCATGAGTCGCATAGCCCACCAGCACCTGGTGCGACTCATAGGCTTCTGGGCGGACTGTGACGAGCGAATCCTGATTTACGAGTACATGCACCACGGCATGCTCTCCTCCCGCCTGCACACTGTCTCACCACTTCCTACCCTGCTCCTGTGTGCTGCTCCCTTCCCCTCCTCCCCACTCCCTCTCCCTCTCTCCCTTCCCATCCTCTCCCTACTCCCTTCTCCCTCCCTTTTCCCTCCCCCCTCCTCCCTCTCCCAGGTGTCATTCATGAGTCGCATGGCCCACCAGCACCTAGTGCGACTCATAGGCTTCTGGGCGGACTGTGACGAGCGAATTCTCATCTATGAGTACATGCACAACGGCATGCTCTCCTCGCGCCTCCACCGCAGCGCCTCCCATCTCGCCTCCTCCCACCCCGCTTCCGAAGCCCACGCCAAAGACAGCAAGCCGTTTTTCAAGCTCTACCCAACTTCTGCCTCGACTAGCAAGGCCGCTTCTGCTGCTGCTGCCCGTGCATCGGACCTCCCACCTCCTCTGACGTTTGATGAGAGAGTGAGCATTGCTGTAGGGGCCGCGGAGGGGCTGCGATATCTGCACGATTTCGCTGCCGATTCTGTGATCCACCGCGATATCAAATCAGATAATATCCTCCTCACGGATAAGCTCCAGGCGAAGGTAGCGGATTTCGGGCTGCTGAAATCGGCCGATCTGGCCGGCAGCGGGGGTGCTGGTGGGGGGGTAAACCACACCCGACTCATGGGTACCCCGGGGTATTGCGACCCTGAATACTCAAAAACCTACATGGCGTCGGCGAAAAGTGATGTTTATAGTTTTGGAGTGGTGCTTTTGGAGTTGATTTCCGGGCAGCGGGCGATTTTATCTGAGAATAGGAAGAAAGGTATTGCAGGCAGCATGGCTGCTCTGCTGTGGCTGAGACCGGGAGTGGGCGGGAAGACGCAGCAGCAGAAAGAGATGGAGATGCTGGGCTTTAAGAAGAACAAGAAATCGAGCATGCGGGCGATAACAACGCTTGTCAGCTGGGTGAGTGTCTGCTTTCATTGATATCATTTCAGTCACCGTTCTTTACTTTTCTACGATGTATGTCATGCAGTTTTGGCATAGCATTGTAGTCTCAAGGTCTTCCCTTTTGAGGCGCCTCAAAACTAGATTTCTACGATGTATGTCATGCAGTTTTGGCATAGCATTGTAGTCTCAAGGTCTTCCCTTGTCTCCCTCTCTCTCTCCCGCCCCTCCCCGTTTCAGTAGTCGACCCAGTCCTGGCGAACAACCACCCCTGCTCAAGTTCGCTCCTTGTCTCCCTCTTCCCTCTCCCCACCTTTCCATCCAGGCCATTCCTCTGATAGCAGCAAGCAAGCTCAAGGCCGTAGTCGACCCTGCCCTCGAAAACAGCTACCCCTGTTCAAGCCTGCCTGCCGACTCAACGTCTTCCCTTCCTCGCTCTGTGCTGTGCCTCCCCTCGTTCCCTTCCATCCAGGCCATTCCTCTGATAGCAGCAAGCAAGCTCAAGGTCGTGGTCGACCCAGCTCTTGAAAACAGATGCTCGTGCTCATAACCCTGCTGAAGTTTGTTTCTCCCTCTCCCTCTCCCCCACCCTTCCCTTCCCTCCATCCAGGCCATTCCGCTGATAGCAGCAGGCAAGCTCAAGTCTGTGGTCGACCCTGCTCTCGAAAACAACTACCCACCGGGAGCAATGAAAGCCCTGGCCAGCGTAGCAGCCATGTGCGTCCAAAAGACTGCCGCCCAGCGGCCGTCCATGGCTGAGGTGGCAACACGACTGTCTGCCATCCAGCACAAGGTGCAAGTCCTGCACATCCAGGGGGAAGAGCCCAAGTATAACTTCCAACCCACACTTGCCGGCCCCTTACCTACTTCTGCCTCTACTGGCGGTGGTGCTGCGGCTGCTGGTGCTGGTGGTGGTGGTCCTGTTGCTGGTCGGTGGGGGAGTGGGGGAGGTGGAGGGAGTGGGGGAGGAGGAGGAGGAGGAGGAGGAGGAGGAGGAGGAGGAGGAGGAGGAGGAGGAGGAGGAGGAGGAGGAGGAGGAGGAGGAGGAGGAGGAGGAAGAGGAAGAGGAGGAGGAGGAGGAGGAGGAGGAGGAGGAGGAGGAGGAGGAGGAGGAGGAGGAGGAGGAGGAGGAGGAGGAGGAGGAGGAGGAGGAGGAGGAGGAGGAGGAGGAGGAGGAGGAGGAGGAGGAGGAGGAGGAGGAGGAGGAGGAGGAGGGAGTGGAGGAGGAACAGGAGGGTCTGGGCCAGGCAGTAGCAGAAGCTTCAATCGGACGGTGTCGGCACCTGCTCAGCGGGCTGACCAGGCAGGGGTTGGGAGTGGAAAGGAGAAGAAGAAGCATAGGTACCAAGAGGTGGGCCGGCCGGTAGGGAGCAAGGAGGGGAAGGAAGAGAGTGGGAAGGAGGGTTCGGTTGGGAAGGATGGAAAAGGCAAGGGTCTGTCGAGACGAGAATCGACTAAAAGTGGGAGTAAGTCTAGTCTGCCTCTTCTTTCTGCTGGTGATGCTGTAGAGTTTAGCTCGCAACATGTTACCACCAGATACTTGGGTGGGGCGTTTTGACTACCTTATGTCTGTAAATTTCTTGCGTAGTACATCGTGTGTCATGACCAAACATAAATCCTCGTGAACGGCCGGTGGGAAATGGCCTGCTTTTGTTATATGGTGACTCTTGCTCACACTAAGAGTTGGGATTGGTTGGCGGTATTGTTGAGTAAGCTTATATGTAATATATAGATAACACAAGCAGGATACACCAGCCAAAATAGGAACCTCCTGTCCCGTTCTGATTTTTGTTGAATCGAACCAATTGATGGCTGGGTCCGTTTGAATGAACCATCCATCAGCTTTGGTACAGTGATAGTATTTCAGCCGCTCGTTCGCGAAGATGTGTGGCCAACGAGTTCAGGTTTTACGAAGCTTGCGATTGCACATTTATGACCGATTCGATCTAATGGTCACGAATTTATCACGTGACGTGGCTCTCGAACTTTTCGGCCGTGATGGGGAATCTAGAAACTCGAATGATTTGTCACATGGGTGAACGATGGAAACTGAATCCACGGGTTTGGGTTTCTGGAAGGAGGACAAATCTAGTAGCCATCATCCGTATCTACGCCCGATCGAAGGCTCACAACTTTCCCGCCAACGGCAGCTTCCTGTCTGTGCGGCCGAATGCTCGCGTGGGAAAAGATGCAAAAAGATCCAGGAAGAGGCAGATGTTTTTCGTTTTCTTGTCGATCTTGTCCAAACGAAAACAAAATACGATATCGCATTTCTGCGTAAATACGCTCACAAGTGCTTGATAAACGAAACCAGATTGCCTTCATACAACATGTAAGCACATTGGTGATATATTTTGGTAAATACAAATGCTTCGTGATCATTATTTCAAAGAGGACCAAAAACCCCAGATTTCCTTCCTCCCACCAGCTCAACTTCCCAAATCCTGTCCGTCAGTCTTATCCGCACAGCAGCATCTGTGCTGTGCTGGTGCAACAATCCACTGTACGGTACTGCCAGTCATGAATCCCACAACTTCTCTTCCTGCTCTTCCCATTTGACAGAGGTGGTGTGTTATACAAGGCTCACACATTTGAAGCGTCGTCTCTAGGACTTTGAGGGAGCAGTTTCCGAAGGTACTGTTTTTGCAACCAATAAGATATTTTTTTAACGACACACAAACGCATGCTGAGAAGCAAAGCAGTTCCTTTGTAATGTCTGCACTATCTGCCAGATCATCTGGATCCGATAGTGGTGCACTATCTGCACTACGTAGAGGCGGCGCTGCGGCGTTTTAAAACCTCTCGGCGTTTTAAAACCACTCGGTAAACCTTAATGGATCCGCTCAGTCTTTCCCGTTAACTACTAAAGGCTTGTTTGTCCTAGCGCAAGTGAACATTCACTTCCATTTCCATCTCAGATTATAAACTGGTCTTGGAATAGGCCGCCCGAACCAGCAATGGACGCTCGTTCCCGTGCGATCCGGGATGGTGACGTGGCGAACAGCCAGCCTCAGAACACCAACAGCAGTCCCAGCCTCCCTCCTCGTACTACCTACCCGCACTCACACTCCCCACTCGCAACCTTCCCTTCCTCTTCCGGAGTATCCTTATCAGCGGTTCCCTCCTCCCTCTCCCCCCTCCCTCTTTCCTCCTCACTCCCTCCCCTCCCACTTTCCTCCTCCCTCCCCCCACTCCCTCTTTCCTCTACCTTCCCCCCATTTCCCCCTCCCTCCACCTTCCCCTCCTCCTCTCACCACCTCCTACCCGACTGGTGGTGCGGACACCACACGGCCAATCAGAGCTCGCCATTTGGCAGGCGACCGCCTTCCGTAAGCCCCCCAGGCCTCACCCTTGTCCCCCCGTCCGGATCCCCCCGGGAAAGGGGTAGATCAGGCGGAATGGAAGGGGAGGGGATGGGAGGGAGAGGTGAGGGAACGGAAGGCGGAGAAGGGCGAAGAGGAGTGGGAGGAGGAGGAGGGGAGGGAGAAGGGGGTGAGGAAGAAGCGCAGGTTATAAGCATTAAGCCGATAAGATCATGGGCCCCCTCTGTCATTAACGAGAATCAGCAGCAGCAGCGGCTTCACCAGCAGCAGCAGCAGCAGCAGCAGCAGCAGCAGCAGCAGCAGCAGCAGCAGCAGCAGCAGCAGCAGCAGCAACAGCAACATCTGGAGCCTATGGGTTCTGCCTTTGTGCGTGCTCTTTCAGTCAGCCGCTCGTTTCCATCTCACGGCGCAGGCGCTTCAGGTGCAACACCACCAGCCACATCAGCAGCAGCAGCAGCAGCAGCAGCAGCAGCAGCAGCAGCAGCAGCAGCAGCAGCAGCAGCAGCAGCAGCAGCAGCAGCAGCAGCAGCAGCAGCAGCAGCAGCAGCAGCAGAAGCACCAGCAGCAGCAGCAGCAACTAGGGCAGCAGCTGCAGCAGCAGCAACAGGAGCAGGGGCAGCAATCAAATCAGACGCAACGGGAGAAGCAGCAGCATTGGAGGCTGTAACGGAAACAGCAACAGAAATGGGGCTAATGGGGAAGACTCCTGAAGATTCTCCAGGAGGCAGGGAGAAAGACAGGGGAGTTCAAGGTGTGGAAACTCGCTGGGATCTCGGGGTTGGGCTGGGAGGCTCGGCACTTGCTTTGGGGCCTGCCCTTCTTGCCCGAGCCGGAGTAGCAGGCTCGGGAAGGGAACCGGGGTCTTCAGCTGGGGCGGGTTCTTCTGGGGGAGGCGCCACTGAGAGGGTTTTGTTCAGGGAGACTCGGGTGTTTCCGATGGCAGTGTTTAAAGAGCCTGAGTTTTCACCTGGGCCGGGTTCATCCAGGGGAGGCGCCACTGAGAGGGTTCTGTTCGGTGAGACTCAAGTGTTTCCGCTGGCGAAAACTCACAGCCCTCTCTCAGGCTTCCTTGCACCGTTGGCCGGTGGGAACGAGAGCGGCGGTGGTGCTGCTGCTGGTGGTGCTGGTGGTGCTGCTGCTGATTCTGGTGGCGGTGGCAGTGGTGGTGGTGGTGCTGCTGCTGTTGCTGCTGCAGTAACGGGTGCTGGATCTGTTGGTGCCGCTGGCTCTTCTGGTGCTGCTGCTGCTGCTGCTGCTACTGCTGCTGCTGCTGCTGCTGGTGCTGGCGGTGCTGGTGCCGGCGGTGTTTCTATGGGTGATGGCACCAGCAGCGGCAAAGTTGACTCTGCTGGCGCTGGGGGGAGGTCAGGAGCAGGAGTAGGATTGACGGATCTGGGAGTGGGTTTATCAGGGGGAGGTTTAGTTGGAAGGGGTAAGTTAGTAGGAGGGTTGCTGGGTGGAGGAATATCAGGAGGAGGGTTACTCGGGGGAGGTACATCCGGAGGAGGGCTTTTGGGGGGAGGCTTATTCGGAGGAGCTATGCCAGGAGGACAGACTCAGTTCCCGGACCTCAGCACGCAGCTGGGCCTCAGGTTCGGGCTCTCTGCTTCGGCCGGACCTGACTCCGGCGACAGGAGAGACGGAAATAGGGATGGGACTAGAGACGGGACAACGGAAGGAAATACGGATAGAGATAGAGACAGGGACAGAGATATGCTCACAGATGGCGCCAGGCCGCCAGAGAGCATTGAGTATGAGAGCCGGGAGCTAGCCCGAGCGGTGCAGCAGAATAGAATCCTAGAAGAGGAGATAGTTCGGCTGCAGGTGCAATCCTGGGAGCTTAAGGAGCAAAACCAGGAGCTGCATTCGCGGGTGGTTCGGATGGAGAATACCATGAAGTATCGGGAGCAGAGAGGGGTTGGTAGCGGTGCGGGAGGGTGGGTGCAGCCGCAGCTTCAGCGGATGGAGAATCAGGTGGTGGTGCTGACGGGGCGGGTGCTGCAGCTGCAGCAGCAGAACCGCGCGGCTAAAGGGGAGATTGAGAGGCTGAGGAAGGAGTTGGATGCGGTGAGGGGGAAAGGGGTGGCGGAGGGGGGAGGGGGAGGCGGAGGGGTAGGCGGAGGGGGAGGGAGAGGTGGAGGGGGACGGGTGGGGAAGGGTGAGTGGAGAGGGGAGGAAGGAAAGGTGGAGGGGGAGAGGGTTGAGATGGATGTGAGTCGAACGGGGGGAGGGGGAGGGGGAGGGGGCCGGGTGGGGAACGTTGGGTGGAGAGGGGAGGAGGGGAAGGTGGAGGGGGAGAGGGTTGAGATGGATGTGAGTGGAACGGGAGGAGGACGAGGGAGAGCTGTGGGTGGGGAGGGAAGAACTGGTGAAAGGGGAACTGGGGGTATGCAGGGAAGTGGTGATGCTGTCGCTACTGCTGCTGCTGCTGCCGCTGATCTTGTTGGTGTGGGTGTTGGTGGTGCTGGCGATGCTGCTGCTGCCGCTCGTGTTGCTTCTGTGCCTGCTGCCGATGCCAATACTCCTGATGCTGCTGATACTGGCCATGCAGCTAGAGTCGGCACTACTATCGAGGATCACCCTGCTACTGCTACTGCCGCTGCAGCTGCTCCTGCTGCTTCCACTGCAGCTGCCACTGGATCGGCTGGTCCCGCTGTTGCTGCTGCTGTTGCTGCCGCTGGTCCTGCTGCTGCTTCTGCTTCTGTGGCTGCTACTGCTTCTGCTGGTGCCACTGCTGCTGCTGCTCCAATCACCACTGCTTTAGCAGCCATGAACGTTCGTACAGAGGTGAGCAGGGCAGGGGGGACAAGCACGGGGGAGGGGAATAGGGGAGGGACGCTAGGGAAGCGAGAAAGGGAGTCTCACGATGAGGGGGAAGAGGAAGAAGAGGAGGAGGATGGTGGCCCAACCTGAACAACTTGGTGACTCCTCATCTGACTTTTCTGACTCGAAAGTCACCTCGGGAGGGACGCTAGGGAAGTGAGAAAGGGAGTCTCACGATGAGGGGGAGGGGGGAGAAAAAGAGGAGGAGCTGACTTTTGAGTCGACTCAAAAGTCAGCGGGGAATAGGGGAGGGACACTAGGGAAGCGAGAAAGGGAGTCTCACGATGAGGGGGCAAGGGGGGAAGAAGAGGAGGAGGAGGGAGGTGGTCCTACCTGAACAACGTTGTGTCTTCTGATCCGACTCAATAATCCTCTCGAGCGGGGTCTGACGGATGCAAGAAAGAGAGTCTCAGGGGGAAAGGGGGGGAGAAGAGGAGACGAAGGGAGGTGGTCCTACCTGGACAACGTTGTGACTATGGTGTCCACTCTAAAGTCACCTCGAGTGGGGTGTGACGAGGCGAGAAGGGGAGTCTCAGGAGGAGGAGAAGAGGAGAAGAGAGGAGAAGAGGAGAAGAGAGGAGAAGAGGAGAAGAGGTAAAGAGGAGAAGAGGAGAAGAGGATAAGAGGAGACGAAGGGAGGTGGTCCAAGCTGAACAGCTTGGTGACTTCTGATTCGACTCAACGGTTACCTCAGGAGGGGCGGTAGGGAAGAGACAAGGGAGTCTCACGAGGAGGAGTTGTGGGGGGGGAGGAGGAGGAGGGAGGTGGTCCAACCTGAACAGCTTGGTAACTTCTGATTCGACTCAACAATTACCTCGGGAGCGGCGCTAAGAAATCAATGAAGGGAATTTCACGAGGAGGGGTGGTGGGGGAGGAGGGAGGTGGTCTGAATCGAACAACTTCTGCAGCAATGCATGCAGCAGAAAGGACGGTGCAGATGAGACAAGGGAGGGTTCAGCAGATGGAAGGGTTTAGCACGCAGGATGGTGCAGCAGAGGTTACAGGCGTGCAGCCATTATCCGGTTAGTAGTACAGTAGAGATCATAGTATTTTGCTTGGCTGGTGGGATGAAGTGTTGCACAGTGAGTGCAGCTCAATGGGGTGCAACAGAGGCTGGAGCAGAACGTTGCACTGGTTGTATGGTGTGTCCTATTGTATGGGTATTATTCTTGCGCTTCTTTTTACTTGTTCTATCAATAATACTAGTTATTTGCCACAAGGCATTTTCGCTCATTAACGTGCTGTGCCCTTGGAATAATAATCTAAAGTGGTACACCCATGGTTGGCGGGGTGTACGCGTTGGGTACATTCTCATATCGACATTTGTGTCTCAATGCCCGTTTTCCCGAGTCGCGTCTAAATGTTTAGTCAACTTGCGTGTCTCAAAAGCGTGCATGAGTCGCGACACTGTGCGACCAAGCTTCATATAGAGTTGGGCGCTCTCAAGAAGTACGCAGAACGGAATGGTAGATTAGGAAAGGTGGTGGGTACAAATGCAAACCCTAACAACCTATACTCTCTAATGCATGCATCACTACAGCCTAGAACATACAAATATATATATGTTTGACACAACCCCATAGGCTATGTGAGGGATAGCAAGAGAGAACAATAAACGCACATGGTCACAAGACCAGTCAAGAGAAGCAACAAGACAACGCTCAGGGTGGATCTCAAGATCACCACACATTCTAAGCACAAGCAAACGGCCACAAGGCCAGTTCAAGAGTTTACAAATATATATATATATATATATGCAAGGACAAGCAGAGCAAGCAACAAGAAATAATGCTACAGCAACCAAGCACCAGCGTCAACAAGGCCTAACTGCAGACAGAACCTGTGGTGGTCACTAGGCGCTAGGGCCTTGGTGAAGATGTCTGCAGTGTTGACCTCTGAGGCCACGAAGTCCAAGCGTGCATGGCCGCGTCGCTGCAACTCTCGCAGGAAGTACCTCACGTCAATGTGCTTCACTATGCTCTCCAGTCGAGGCTCTCGACACAGGAGGATCATGGCCTTGTTGTCAGAAAACAAGGTCGGTGCAGAACGAGGCCGCTCACCAAGGTCGGCGAGCAAGAAAGTCAACCAGCGAAGCTCCTGCGCAGCCATGGCACCAACGTAGATCTCTGCCTCTGCACTGGACGAAGCCACAAACGACGACCGAGTAGACCTCCACGACACAGCTCCAGCTCCCAAGCTGAAGCAGTACCCCTGAGTAGACCTCTGTGTCTCCACGTCGTCGGCGTAGGAAGAGTCGCAGTGACCGGTCAGAACAACTGCTGTCTCCCTCCAAGCACAAGCCCCATGCCTGATGTAGTCGCCAGGTACTTCACCACCCTCACAGGAGCTGTCCAGTGAACAGGACGGTGTCTCCCTGTCGCAACAAAGCGAGAGAGGACGCTGAGAGGAAAGGCGAGGTCCGTACGAGTACAATTCATCAGGTACATGAGGCAGCCCACAAGCTCTGCGTAGGGACCACTAGACTCAAAGGGCTCGTCGGGAAAAGGGCCAGTGAGTCTGTAGTCAACGGAAAGAGGAGTAGGCTGTGTGGTGGAGTGTTGAAGCCCGAACCGCTGAAGGACCTGTTGACTGTGAGAGTGTAATGGTGCGAGCGGCTCTGTCCCTGGTGATCTGCAAGCCAACGTAGCGGCGCAGCTCACCAAGGTCAGTGCACGTGTGTCTCTTCTGCAGTTCGGACTTCACCTCAGCCAGAGCGGCCCTGTCTTCTGTAGCAAAGACCAAGTCGTCGACGTAGACGAGGACGAAGAAAGGTGTGGGCCCAGAACGAACGAACAGCGACGGGTCGGCGGACGAAGGACGAAACCCGAGGGCAGCAAGAGAGGTGCGCAGCGTGTCGTGCCACTCAAGGGGCGCCTGGCGGAGACCGTAGACTGGTCGTCTCAGGCTCCACTGGGTCCCAGGCGGGAAAGTGCCAGTGAAGCCAGGAGGACGACACAACCAGATCTCCTCGTGCAGGCTGCCCTGGAGAAAACGCAGTGGAGAAGTCGAGGGAGTGCAGCTCGTAGTCTCGCTGTGCTGCAACGTGAAGTAACACCCGAAGAGTAGTCATCTTCGGGGTCGGGGCGAAGGTCTGGAAGAAGTCAACTCCCTCACGCTGACTGAAACCTCTAGCCACGTAACGCGCCTTGAAGACAGGCGGCGATCCAGGCGGTCGTTTCACCTTGAAGATCCACATGCCGTTGACTACGTTCGCCCTGGGAGGGGGAACTGCGTCGGCGTAGGTGCATATGGATCTCCAAGACGCCATCTCTAAGTCCATGGCTGCTTTCCACTAAGAGGCCCACTGCCCTGACACTGCCTCACGGTACGTGCGAGGAGTCGGAATGTCAAGGGCGTCGGGGTCTCCCTCAGGGGAAAGCAGCATGGCACAGAGAGAGGGAGAAGCAGCTGCCAGGAACTCCAGCTCAAACTACCTGTCCTCTATAACGTCACAGCCAAGGGCAAACTCACCCCCGGCGGACAGAGGACGGGCAGGCGCAGCAGCCACTACACGCGTGGCGAAGTCAAGGCGGCGGGTGGAAGCAAAGTCAACGACAGCGGCAGTAAGAGCCGAGACAGACAACGGAGAGGCACGAGGGTCGGTGACAAGAGAGGCGAGAACACGCGAGACAACAGGACGAACAGCATGGTAGTAGTCAGTGATAGGGTGAGAGGAGACAATGGGAGACGACGCAGGAGGTGGCGGGAGAACAGACACAGGCGGAGCACGACGAGGACTAGAACGAAACAAGACAGTGCAGAGTTCGTCAAAAGGAGACGAGGGACGAGCACGCGGAGGACAACGAGTGGTCCAGTTCTGCGGGAGAACAGGAGGAGGCGACAGTGACTGAGAAGGAGAGAAAACAGCCGGAGCCGAGTCCGGAGGAGGAAACGTAGGGCCGTACGCGGTAGGAGACTGTGAGTGGACAGGAGGAGCGGAGGGAAGACCAAGGGCCCGAAGGCCACTCACTGGTGGGAACAGCTGCTGCAAAAGGGGCGGCTGCGGCGAACGCTGCTGCTGGTGCTGCTGCAGCAGCTACTGTTGCTCCAGCTGCTGCTGTTGCTCCTGCAGGTCCAACTGCCGCAACTCCTGATTCTCCTGCTCCAACCGCTCCTGCTCCTCACGCTCACGTCGGCGAGCCGCCTGGAGACGTGTGTCGTGGCGGTGGGGAGGCGCAGTAGTAGTGCCTCCAGCTCCAGTCTCCTCGGAACTAGCACCTCCAGTGCCAGTACCTCCTGCTCCAGCACCCCCAGAACAAGCACCTCCAGCGCCAGAACCTCCAGCTCTAGCACCCCTCAAAAGAGCACCCCAAGAACGAGTACCTCCAGTGGCAGCACCTCCAGCTCCAACACCCCCGGAGTCCACAATAACCTGTCGCGGAAGTGCCGAAGGCTGCTGCGGGGACTGTGAGGAGGACTGCGGGGAGGGAGACGCTACCTGACGCGCGACCGAGGGTAGAGGGGTAGCGTGAGACACACCTGACGGGGCAGGACCAGGGGGGGGCGGGGGTACCAGAGGAGCGGGAGCAGGAGGAGGAGAGGGTGCGAGGAAAAGGGGAGGAGGGGGAACCGGGAGATCTCGACTGTGAGAATAATACGAGGAATGAATGCATTGAGCAGAATGAGGAGTACAAGTAGGAAAACCTAAAAGTGTTGTACCCTATATTGACCACCCCACTACAGCCTACACAAACTATGTCAAATAAGTTTGACACACCCCCATAGGCAAAGTGGGGGAGAACAAGAGGTCACAAGACCAGTCAAGAAAAACAAAGCAAGCTCAGGGTGGATCTCAAGGATACCACACAAATTCCGAGCACAAGCAAGTGGTCACAAGACCAGTTCACATGCAGTTTGATATATAAGAAGAGGTACAGTGATCACAACCTAGCAAGTGTAAGCATGCAGGTATATGTATAGAGATCACAGTACAAGCAGAGTCAAGAGGTGAGCAAGTGAGGCACAGTAGGCACAAGGCCTAGAACAGTACAGAAACGCTGATGATCACAAGGCTGAAGCGCCTTGGTAAAGATATCAGCAGTGTTGGCCTGAGAGGCCACGTAAGCAAGGCGCAGCTGACCACGCTGCTGCAGCTCACGTGCAAGGAAGTACCGAAGAGCAATGTGCTTCGTTCTGTGCTCCACTCTGTGCTCCTGACACAAGGCCAACATGGCCTTGTTGTCTACGTACAGAACTGGAGGAGAACGAGGCGGCTCTCCCAGGTCGGTCAGCAGGTAGGTGAGCCAGCGTAACTCCTGTGCAGCCATGGCCCCTGCGTAGATCTCGGACTCACAGCTGGAGCCGAGAACAGAAGACGAGCGGGTAGACCGCCACGAAACAGAGCCGGAGCCAAGGCTGAAGGTGTAACCCTGTGACGACCGCTGCGTAGCCAAGTCGTCAGCCCAAGAAGCGTCTGCGTGACCAGTGAGGACAACGTCGGCCCGTCCTCCAAGCACGAGCCCCATGCCCGATGTACTGCACAAGTAGCGCAACACCCTCTTAGCGGCATCCATGTGCTCCTTCCTGTGTCGGCCAGGAGCGACATAGCGTGCTAGGATGCTAAGAGGGTATGCAAGGTCAGGTCGAGTGCAGGTCATC